TTCGTTCACAGGCGAATAATTGACTTTCGCTTCGATCGAAATGGAATTCTCTCGAGTTTCTCTTCGACGGACTGCCAGTTTGAACAAGTGAACAAACTAGCAGCTTCCAGGATTGGAAGTTTAAATTGACAAATATTAGAAGGAGGAAGCAGATGATGGGAACCGCAGCTCAGTCAACAGGCTGTGTGGATTAGCAAACAGGGAGAAGGCTTTTCTCTTTCGATTCTGAAGAGATTTCTTAGTTGCCATGATAGTTTGCTCTGGGTTCGCGATGCTGACGTGTGAAAACATTCGACAGTGGCATTTTTAAGGGTAAACTTTGAAAATAAATTATTTGAGATTAGAAGTCGAGGTGGAAGATGAAAAAACCAGGGAGTTGTTAATTTTTCATTTGAAAAACTGTTATTTTTGAAAAAGGTATAAATGAAATTTTGAATAAACTTTCTCTGTCTAAAAATCTTCATCGACCCACGTCCTTCTGCACCAAAGATCATCATCAGTGATTTCGATCGAACCTTCTCTAACATTACGTTCCAGATCATTTACATAATTACCGAATTTTATCGGTTAATAAAAAGTAACTCACCGCTCGATGAGCAGGAATTTTTCGAATGCTTCATCTGGAAAAAGGGAAAGCTTTGATTTCGAGAAAAATGAAACTGCTTAAGAGTCGGTTCCTAACCGATCCAACAAGTGTTAACTAACCCAGAATGGAAGGAAATAAATAGAATTAACCACCGCTTTCTACGCGTGGACATGCTGAAACCAGATCTGATACATTTCGTTTCGTGTTGAGGGAAAAAATAGTTCAGCCTGAATCTTTGAGAACCGTGTTCGGGGTAATGAAAACACCTTGTCAGGGATCCTATAACAGTATTTTTCTTGTCCCTTGTCACAATCATTGCCGAAGCATTTCCGTATTAGAACAGAACCATCTTCCTATTGCATCGTGGGACTCGGTGCTCTCTAAACACGTGCTTTACACACGTGTTACTCGTATACAAGTTGTAAACCGATAGCATTACCTGGCTCGATATTGTCCTTCCTAGGAATTTACAATTCCTTACGAAAGTACACCGACATTTAACTCTGCTAATCCCCAATCAGTTTTGTATAATCCTAAAGGAAAATTATTTACAGATTTATCTCCTAAATGTTTTCTATTTCTTAGAAATAAATTATTTCAAAATTTGCAATCTGAAATGTAATTCGTAGTTGAAAATTCTCCGGGTTAAATGAAATGGAGGGAAGGATGATTAAAAAGCAAAGTGATGGAAGCGAGTAAAAGCAGCTACGAGCGTGGGTAAGGGCAAAGCACGTAATTTAACACTATTATTTAATATTTTACCCGGGGATGTAATCGCGACAGCTTGTTCTTCGCCAAAACTAACGGTCCAAGGATTAAGAAACTCCCGCGAAACGGTATTTTAATAATGTAATACGCGCCGACGCACCGGTTTCAATAGAGAGATTAACAACATAATGGGAGAAAAATGTTTAGGAGGATGTTTTATGGGATAGGGAACGCGTTTCCCTGGATGGAAAAACGAGGAAGTTATCTTCTTACCCGATGCTTCGATCGAACCATCGACGTGTTAGAATCTCAACCATAATTCCCTTAGAATCTTGGCAATTTCAAATTTCACCAATAATCCCCCTCCTGTATGATTGAATTAAAAAAAGAGGACGCGATAAATCGAAGTAAAACTCGAAGATTATCTTAAGGAGCTCGATTTTAAAAGGCTTTTAGCTTAACCATATTTATCTTCAAAATTATTCCAACATTTTATGAAACATCTTGTAAAAGGAGCACTTCGGCCAGTGTCATCGAACACGCGCGTGGTATCTGAAGAAAAATGGTGTCTCTCGTTTGCGAATCATTCGATTTGCTCGTATGTCACCCATGTGTAATGGATAAGTTGGTTTCGAAGAACCACTTGGGCAAATTCGCGATGCCTTGCCTTTTATTAAAGGGACCGACCAGCAAATAACAGGAAGACGGGAGTCCGTTCGCCATTGACCATCGAAAGGATGCACATGGATCGTCCGTGAAATCTGTGATCGAGGGATCATTGACTCTATTGTACGTGATCGGTGGAATTTTTCAGTGACGTCCTCGTTTCCTTTAAATTTATTATGAAACGGGTGATGGTTGTAGAAATAAAATTAAATGAACACCAAAAAAAATATAAATGAACAAAATGCGAAAGGTTTCGTTCCAATTGGTCCACGAAAAAAAATATACTAATCCTTTTTCGAAGTCGGTTAAAAATAAATCAATATAAAGCGGTCTTGCGCGAAACAGACAATGAAGAAATTCGAAAAGGAAGACGAATTCCGTATTGCCATACAGCACGTGACGTAGATGCAATCTCTGGAGGAATCTACCTTGACACAGAACGCGCCATTTCGCAGTGCAATCGGTCACGTGCCATCTACAATCTGCTCTTCATCCTTGCTCGTCCACGACCTCTTCGCTTTGCATAATCTCGGATTATAAACCGGAAACGTATCACGCACCCGCGGACCGTGGCTGATTATCATCGAACGACGCGTGTCCGTGAAAAGGCAGGGTTAACTCGCGATCCGACTACCTGATTGTATAAAAAATAATCGTCCGGATGATGAATATTAAATAATGGAATTTTCTGCGTCGGTGATATTCGAGATCCGAGAAACAGATTTATATGGTATTACAAATGTTATTGCGGTTCAAGTTAACGACATTCTCATCCAGGCCATTCATAATTAAGTCCTTGCGAACGATGCGCTATCAGCAAAATTGCAGTGCATTTATCAGCTGCATTCAGGCTGCATTAGCAGAGGATTATGCTGAACATTCAAGGGAAAATGGGGATACATGCGTGTTTCGTGACGAGTATTTGATACCCTCTTCTCAAGCAATTCAATTGTAAGGAGTTTTAAACTGAATATGATTAATTCTTTCATAGTCTCAGGCTGTAATTAACATTTAATTTAAAAATTAAATATTAGGTTTGATAAGAAATAAGAAAAATAAGAAAAGACCACACATGGTCTTATTAATTGGAATTTAAATGCACAGCCAATTCCAGCCACGAGGAATTAAAATCAAATATATCAAATTTTTATTGAGATATGCTAATTTCGGTCCTTTTCTTCCACTTTAACGATCGGAGAGCCTTACCGTAATCGTTTCGTAAAACGCGATCTGTCGATCGTAAATTTTCTTTCTGTTACGTGAAATAGTGCACCCTGATACCTCAACACCTGTTAGAGCTTAAGTCCTAATCGTAATTCATTATGACAACTCTTTTAACGATGGGGGATTGATCAACTAAAGCCTCTGTACATAAAATTTAAAAATCTTCAATAAAAATTTTAGGATCGTGACAAATCAGCATAACGTCACCACTTGCTTTCGTGTCAATGTTCTTTCAAAGTTCTGAAATTTTGAAACTAACGCCAGTAAAATCGTCAATAGTGTCATTAATAAATCCTGGGGACTTAACAAAGGTTTAAGTGTTTTATTGAATTAATATTTCTTTTTTTAGTCGTATTACAGTGATTTATATTGTGCATTATGACAAATTGGTCATTTCTTTTAGTTAGCAAATAATTTTATTCTATTAGGAAGAGATCAATAGAGTCGTAAAGGGAGAGATACTGTGCTGTAAATTTCAATTGACATGAGAGAGGGAATTGAACGGTATCGCTCACGAGTGGAGCTATTCAGTCTGTCGGTAATTAGAAGGTAATGAGGCTGTTAATTAGTACCATTGGCAGGACTAACATGTACCAGTTCTTTTTGCAATAATTACATTTGATTGAAGTTGCCATTAGGTTCTCCAATAATTTGCTAATTTATGCCATTTGATTTTCTAATAATTTTCTAATTTTTGCCATTAGATTTTCTAACAATTTTCTAATTTTCCTCCAGATTTTCATTCAATTCCCATCGTTATCATTCCAAATCTTCCAAAACAAGAAAGGATATTCAGAACCCAATAAGTCATCAAAGAAAAAGCGCAAAAATTCGCTGAACCTTGGAAAAGGAATTCCCGCGCGTTTTCCATAAGGGGCTTATCTTACGCGTGCCATCCGCTCGATTGTGCATAACGCGGACACACGTCGCGTTGATGCACCGCTCGCGACACGCATCGAACGTGCAATTTATGCAACTACCGCGACCGTGTACTCGCTTCGGATACCATTCCACCTTGTAAGAAGATTCTTCGCAGACTTTTTTGGCCACGGAAGTAACATGACCCGTGTAACAATCTACTACTTGCGGTAATTCTACCGCACGTGTTTAAGAAACTTCACCGTTTCACATTCGACGACTTTCCTCGTCAATTTATCAATTATTGTCTGTAATTTGTCTCTTCTTTCGACCAACTATCTCTTCAATTTATTAACAGTATAAATATACCGTTACAGGAGAAACTTGATTTTTCAATCATACTTTGTTACGTTTCCATTTTTCGATTCATCGAATCGATTACGAATAACGGCAAGGAATTTTTTATTTCATGAAATTCGCTGACAGGGATGATTTAGAAACGCGAGGAAGTCCGCGCACGCGACTTTTTTTTCCATCGGCAAGATTTATTCCCTAAGTGCCAGGAACAGTTCGATGGCGGGAGGCAAGAAAGAGATTTCATGCGACACGTCCAGCAGCAACAGCTGAGAGGCTTTTAATGCTGATTAATTTCTCTCATTAATTCCAGTCGACCTAGGGGCCGCGCGTCTATTTTAACCTTGTACTTACTGTAATTTCATCACCGCGTCTGCTGAAGTCGTACAACCCTTAATACGTCAAGCAATTACTAGGTAAATAATTACAGGCAATTTAGAGGTATGATTCATAGCTAATTGTGATAAAAATCAAGATATCTCCATTTGACTTTGGGACATTATAATTTCTTTCATTTTCCGTCACCGCGAAAGACAAACTACATCCTCTTCGTCGCTCACGTTTAGCATGAAAATTTACGGTAATTTGCTCCACTTTGTTTCAGAATGCTGTGTGGAAGATGCGTCTTCTAGTTCTCCTCCTCGCGGGCTTCTTGAACGTTCTCGAGACTGCGCGTTGTCAAGAGCTTTCGGTCATCAGGCACTCCGATGGAGACATTTTCACGTTGGAAGGTAAGCCGGCTTCCGGCTGCAATTATACACCTCTTCTCGAGTGGAGTAACCTTCGTCACTATTTCTCATCGCGACGGAACGAAACTGTAAATTGCGTAATCATGATTTGCAGTGTCGAGAAACGGTACGGAATATTTTGAGAGAAAAAAATAGAAAAATTGAACGAGAGTTGAAACGAGTAAGTTTCATCGAGATTTTGCCCGGGCAGAAATACTGTTCGAGAGGGAGAAAAAGAAGTGCAACATATTTATCGTGAAATCACGATGTAACGGTTTGACAGCTGTATTTCACCTGGACTATACGTCGCGCCCGCACCGCCATGCGGATTTCTTCATCTTAGAAATTCATCTTCGAATTACGCGCGCTGGTACAGTTACTCGCACGAGTGAAACGACTGAAGTTTCTACGATTGCAAAACGAAAGGACTTTCACGCACATTTCTTCGAATAAGCATTTCTTTCGCGATCGCTGTTTGTTATAAACCTAAGAAAAAATTTAAAAATCATGTCTTTGCAGACTCAGTATTTATTTTAGATTTAAAATTTAATTTATAATTTCTCAAATTTTGTGCTATTTCATTAAACACTCCTTAAGTCCGACTTATGACTGACCCATCTCCTTCATTCAAGGGTCAAATACTTTGCAAAATTGTTAAATTTTTTTCATTACTCTAGGAGGTTAAATTATTCGAAATAATCGAAAATTATACCTGTTCAGGATCCTGCACGGAGGCATGCACGGTGCTTAGCAGCGGCACAGCGAGCCCCTACACGCGTAGTCCTTCAACGGCAGGACTCGTTCCTCCGAACAACACCTGCACCTGCCAATGCAACTACGGTCTCCCTACCTTCCGGGAGGATCTTCACATCTGCGTGAATGATATTCATGGTAAGCCGTTTTAATCCTCCACTCGTACGGTTATTTCTCGTTAGAAATAATCAAGGAGAACGAATGCAGATTTTTTCTTTCGATCTTAAACGAACGAAACCTTCGTCGTATCTTCTTTTTTATTTAATTCGACATCGTCTATACGGTCAGAAAGAATCGAGTGCACCCAACGGTACAACACTCGTGGTACGTTTCGTAATGGCTCATTTCGTCCGCAATCACCTGAATCGCGATTCAGAAGTCCTGTGATTTTTTTTTGGTTCTTTAAAAAACTCCTTTGCACTCCTAGGCGCCGCTTTAAGAGGCTCTCTCCATGGTCCGCCGTCCGAGGGTTAATTTGCATCCGTTGACAATATGCGAAATAAATGAATCGTAAACGATTAGATATTAAGCTTTAAATTAGCTGTACGAGAATGCTGTTCGCCAAACAGTAATTTAGCCGAGTCAAGTGTTTTCCTTTGAGCGCGGTACTATCTCAAGTGTCATTAGCTTAACCTTTCACCCTACAAGTAACTAGTCCTTCGTAAGTAGAAATCCTGGAGATTGTAGCTTCCACGAGGGACATTTCACAGGATACAATGTATAAGTAATGATAGAGAAGTTGCAGAAATATATGAATTCTATTTCGTACTTCATCGTTCGTGCTCTCAGCTGAAATTTCCTTCAACCGTGATCGAGCAGTTACCTGCACGTACTGTTTTCAATTGAACCGTGTCATCAGAAATGATTGCTCCAGCTGTTTCGAGCAAATCGTTCTCGTACAACGCGCTTCCAACTTGACCGCGGCAAAATCATAAACGCTCCGCGTTTTGTTGTCCCTTTATTCTGGGCGTTACAGTTAGATCAGGGTAATTGGATATAATTAATTTTCTATAATTTCTGGGTAACTGTACTGGGTGGGTTGGGGTGCGAATTGGAGCGAAGAAGATTCGATGGCTCTAAATAAGTTAATTGGAGTAATTATGTGGGAGCTAGGGTGGGTCTGCTGCCCCTAAAAAAATTAAATTAACTCCCTCATTATTCTATGATTTTAAATTCCTATAATTTCTAAAATTGCCAAGTTCAAAGATTCTAGAATTCTAATACTTGTTAACGAAACTAAGGAACCCGGCCCACCTGTGCTGCAGCCCTTCTTTCACGACAATTACAAACGAAAAATTAAAGTTCGATCCGCCTAATGAATTGAAGCTGAAAGGTACCCTTCATTATCGTCCATAAATTAATCGATCTGCATGATCAGCAAGCAAGACATGCAGTTAAATCAACATAATCAGAGGGTGAAACTTAATGGACTAATTGGATTAATTTGCAATTTGAAACGCGGAGACTGTGCTTTCAGTAGCAAATTAGTAGGTAAGAAAGATTCCCTTGAAGCCAATCTACAAACCTTGTATTTTCCATTTTTTATTCGTTCAATTCTTAAATGACCGTGTAACAGACACGATTTAAATACTCATTATAAGTCACTTTAAGTAGTAATCATTCCGCAAACTGCCTTCCTTTAATTTTGTGTATCAATTATTACATCAATGTCAATTTTCCTTCTGAGCAATTATAGATGGTATCTGAGGTAAAAATTAACCCTCTGGACATAAAAAATAAATCGAGCTGCACTTAAGAAATAAATTCAAAATTTAAGGTGTTCAAGAGAAATTCTTGCTGAAATTATCGCAATGAAGGTATTCGCGCTAGAAGGTACTTACCTGCATAGTTGTAAATTAGCGATTAGAGATCTCACGTGGATTTGCGACTTTGTATGGTGAAATATATTCACTTTGCCAGTTCGTGAAATCTCCACGACCTCTGGCAACTCGTAGAAACGATCTCGAATTTCTAGGATCGCGAAAACCACGACTCGAAAGCATAGACGACACCTTGGGAACTTTGATGCACGAATGAGATATGGGGAGGTGTGAAAAAAACCTTGCGGAATTCGTTGTGATAAAATTAATGAGGAAATCCTGTATAATCATTTTATGCAATTTTAGCAAAAATTTACATAGAAAAATAGAGACAATAGACTTTTGTTACAACTAATGCTTTCGATTCGCGCCTAGTTGAGTATTAACAAAAAAATTAGTCTAAAAATTTTTTTAATTCATTAAAAATTGTACGTAGGGAAAGATAGACAAGGTTTTCGATACACGGTTGAGTTTATATCTCTATTACCATAGAAGGTACTTAATTAAGAAGACGTTTGAATATTTATCAGTCAGACGAAAGATTCTTGATAATCACAGAAAATCGTGATTCGTTGAATAGCTCGTCGATTGATCGCAAGCTATGAATAATAATGGAATACCTTCACGATTTCTGACCCTTATGGGATCCGTGCACGTTTCGCGGCACCTATTAAAGTTCGTTCCATAATACCAGGCAGATTGGATGATACATCATCTACACTGATTAGTGCACGTCATGCGTGTGGATCACGATCCGAAATCAATGACCACTGTCCGTCATTCTACAATCCCTTATTTACCTTATTAAAAACTACCCTGATCGAGTATGGTTCACCATTGGTGGTCTTACATTGAGAGCACTTGTCCTCGAATGATTGATCGCTTTATTATTAGACTAATTAAATTGAAAATTTTAATTCGATGAAACACTGTAGAGCATCATCCTCAAACAGAAATTCTGACTGAGCATAAATGTACAATAGTGTCTTTCAAGACCTCCCTAACATGGTTCACAAAGAATTATGATTTTCTATGGAACGACATCCATAGAATATAAATGATGTTTGAAGAAGATTTTTGAAGGTGGTCTTGTAGAAAGTGTCAACGTCATCAAACTACAATCCACGTTGTAAAACTACTATGAATTATTAATTAACAATAGTAGAAACCTGTAGGCATGTTTTCAATCGCGATTGTAATTTATTCATCGTGCAAGAGGAGGATTCGTGTAATATTAGAAAAATGCATCCACCGAAAGCTTATTACCTGCCGTAATATCTTTCTCATCTATGAAACTCTTCGTGTATCGCTTCAGATTTGATGTACGTCGGGGAGAAAGGATTAATATTTCACTGTACACTATAATTTCATTCCTCTATTCAGGCGTATGATATCCATGTTATAATCATCATTCCAAAATCAAATCTCAGTGACGTTATTTAATTAAATCGTTCAGGTAATTCCCATGATAGTTTATCGGTTTGCTTAGAATCGTAGAGATTCCTTGGAATGCACTTTTCTAATGCATGAACTTTGTCCACGACCTGACACGACCTTAGCCTATTCACCGATTCCATTCCACTATTTTAAAGCTGTTGGTGAATGTTTAATTTTATTAGCAAACATTAGCACTATTTACTTTTTTAACCCTTTGACCAGAGACACGATCTTAAAATTATTTTTCGATTACCCTGAATACCCAATTTCCCAAAGCAAACTTTGACGATAACAATCAAAGAACTCATCAAGTACTTGAAAGTGCATAATGCATCGGTAGAGTAGTACATCTACGTGATTCTTCGAGTTCATCCAAGAAGGTCACTCGGAGATCTCATCTCGTAAGTTTGAGCCCCGGAGCTGCAACAAACCGCTCCAGTAATGATGCAATCGCCGTACCTTCCCGTGTTGTACACGTGAAACTTAATTTCCGTTCGTTGTCGAGCACCCAAAGGACACCTGGACGTCTTCCTCCAATAATTCAGAATCTTGCAATAACATTCCTGTGTCTTCATATCATTTGCATACGTTTGATTTATTCGTAGCAGAGAGCATCAGAAACCATTTGCATTTAATAAGAATTCCAATCGAACTTGATAAAAATCTTAATGGTATTCCATTGTTCTCCGTGTTACAACTGTGACCTTAATCTTTCGAAGACCTCCAAACCGATATACCTCGACGCACGCAATTCTAATATCAATTATCCAGGAAAAATCTAATATCCCCTGGAAAAATGATGGAAGACTGATTCGACCGGAAGTGGACATTGGTATAAAATTACTGTTACAAGTTTCCAAGTAGGATTATCGGACGATTCTTGCGAGAGCCAATCGATGATATCTCAAGCATTCGTGCTGTATACTTGAATTTTTTTCAATTGCACACTCGAAACCTTAATCGCGCCTCCATCTACGAGATGCTTAATATTCAACGACTAATGCGATTCCCTCTGGTCATCCGACTGTTCAACCATCAAAAAAAGATTCATTTATAGATACAGATATCCATCATTCCATTTCCTTGGTAATTGCCTTCATCACGCCCACGAAATATTAGCGAAACCATTATTCATATTTACACGTAGTTGATAGATTTTCCTTGAATGGTTTTCGCGTTGATGAAAATCAAGATAACAACAACCTACCGCGATGATTATCCCATTAAATTATCCCGATGGTATGCAGCGAACCGTGCAAGAACATCAATTATATCGCCACCGGGAACAGCTGTTTTTTGCAGCCCCGTGTCGCGTCACCGCGACAGGGCATCCCCATAAATTTCACAGGTTTTCCTCTCATCAATTGCCGCCAGTTTTCCTCAGCAAACAAGAAACGGTACCAGTCTTACCTGTTCCACGAAACAGGCGAATCCGTGAGGAATCCGTGTGACGATGATATTTCATTCCCTCCCCTAGCGAATTTTCTTCGTCGCCTGGGAACGAGGTTTCCATCGGAATCCTCGAACCTCGAATTTCTACCGTATTCCAAATTTGTCGATTTATTATCCATGAATAAAACAGTAGCGCTTGTCGCAAAAGGGAATTTACAGTTAGATAACCGTGCACGGTTTCGCGCGAATAATTCTGCCCAGTGAACTCGTGAATGGTTTTAAATAGACGCATTAAATAGTCATGTATGCATCCCTTTTAAACAGCGTCTGGTTTGTAAGCCGGTGGTAAGCAATGGGAAAAATCGCGAAGTCGAACCGGTGCTAGCCGTGGTTCTCCAGGGTCAAACGGTCGTGTGTCTCCTGCGGTCCCCAAGGCCGCTCGCATCTTCTATGCGACCGATAAATAACCGATTCGCGAGAATACGGCTGCATTCGATGAACGGAGACCAGCAGAACACACGGTACCACTGATCGAAAGTACCGCAAGAAACAATATCTCTTTCTTGCCAACCGTGTCCAGCGGATCTTCATCCTACGACCAGTAAGATGATGTAGTTTGCACGTTCTTACAACCCTTTCATTACGTCGTCGAAAAAAGATTGTTAATTGCTGAATCCCATAGGACATGTAATATCAGTGGTGTAAGCAGTAATTAGTCAGACTTAATTCATATTTGGATTTGAAAAAAATATGCATCGAAATATATTACTTACAGGTGTTTGCTGTAATGGATAATTTACAATTAATAGCCAGCCTTTATGATTACCTGTAATTATTCTGTCTATGCTATTCATTATCTTCGCTTCGATGCTATTAAATTTACAATTTTTTAATTCTAAAATTTTGATATTCTAAAATTCTAAAATTTCAAGTGCCTCTCATATTCCAATTTCTCTCTCCGAATACAATTTTTACAAAATTTAATTGCCTACAGTGAAACGCTTTCCATAAGTGCGATAAAAGACATACAGCCGACTCGATGTAACCTCTGCCCCGGTTTATCACCAGCGGTCCCATAATTCCACGATTCCTATTTCCGAGTGACACTATCTATCAGCGCGGTTAGGGGACACGGTTCGGTTTCGTGGATTCGTGGTGGTTCGTCGAAGGTCAGGGTTCATCGGCGTGGATCGTCCCCGTTGACTCGTTTCTTCGGGTCGAGCTTGCCGATCGTTAATCAACCAGTCGTTATCCGATGTTGGATCGAAGACGCAGGTAGCCGGAGCAACGCGATCCTATGAGTAAACGGGGACACTGAGAAGAGAGCTGCCGGCGTTAATTGCTCTCCGCCGTCGATTATCGTAAATCGCGGCCGCCTTAATGAGGAAACACCGACGTTCGAATGGAGTTGAATGAAAGAACCGCTTCGATGTGGCCTCTTCATGAAAGTGAGAACACAATCCAATCTTTCGTGATCTTCCTATCCTTACAGTCTAATAGAATCGATATGGACATTTTAACCCTTTGATGATTCGTTTAAAATTTTTTGGCTTTATTGTATAATGCAGGAATTATGGTAATTTCAAGAGGGAAGTGTATAAAATATAAATCGCATCGCGCGACTAAACACGATCGCAAATCGCGTCGATGGTACCGGTTCCTTAACGAGCGAGCGCAATAGGATAATGCTTCCCCGTTTATCAAGATTTAAGTGTTTAACGTACCTACTGTACACTCGGTTGGAATGCCTCGCAATGAGTAGAACGGGTTATTCCGGAAAATGCCGTTCTCTATTAAACATTTAAGAGGATGTTTAAATTATCTGTCACCTATAACGCGTCAGCCAACTGGTTTATAAACAATACAGAAACAATGTACATTTCTCTGTGACAGCGTCGAACATAATTTAAGGCGAATTTGTGATGAAGAAACGTTTCTAGTTTTTCCACGTGGAGAAGATATGGACGTTATTGGACGATGAGAAAAATTTATAGGATAATATCGAGTCTAGCTACATATGGTTTGTTCATTTTGTCCGTTTAATGGGTCGATAAATTGTTGAAAGTGTTTCGCAGAACAGATTTATTTCGAGGACTGTTTATTTCACGGCATAGAAATCGTCATTTTAACGGACTGCTTCCCGGTTGGTTGCGCGATAGCTGGTATTAGAATTATCTAATATCAAAATTATGCGACACGTTGGAATTGCTCGATCGATTGGAAATGGTACGCTACTGATACTCATTAGCGGAAATGGGATTTTTAGAGGGGGTGGGCAGAGTTAGAATTTTAGAATATTAGAATATTAAGATAATGGAATATTAGAAAATTAGAGTATTAAAATATTAGAATGTTAGATTATTCAAATATTAAAAAATTAGGGTATTGAAAAATTAGAATATTAGAAAATTAAGGTATTAGAATGTTAGAAAATTAGGATATTAGAAAATTAGAATCTTAGAATCTTAGAATCTCAGAATCTCAGAATCTTAGAATCTAAGAATTTTAGAAAATTAGAATCTTAGCCCCTTAAAGTCCTAGAATTTTCTAATACCAAATTTTTTAAATATTCGAATTTCCAAACCTTAGAATAGAACTTTTAAAATAGTGAAGGAGAATAGTGAATGATATTCATTTTATCCAATGATTTAAGCAACGAACACGAAGCAAAGACACTCGACAAGCAGATCCTTTACGAACTTTTCAACCGGCCTGGTTGCTCTTAGTAGGGCATCATTGTTCCTTAAGGAGAAAGCTCAAGGGAGAGTCTCGTAGATCTTTAGACTTTCCTCGACAAGTACGCACGTTTGTTGAAGACGGTACACGTGTTCCCAAAGAGAAAATGGCACGAACTCCGTGCGCATATTTACCGATCTAAGGTCGTGACACTGATCGTCCAGATTCGTCTGAATCCTTCTCTTCTAATTCCTCGATCATTTTATACTATTTACACTAATCTCAAAACAAAAAAATGAAAAATAATTTACCATTTCCAAAATATTTCATTCTTTTTCTAATTTCCTATTTGCCTTCAAACCTTTTCATTTTTATTTGTCCAAAAATTCTATTATTATTGATCCATTAATATCAGTTAAAGCTTGGTATACCCTATAGAACTTTCTTCAATATTTTTTTTCAAACAACCTTTACTTATTTGGCGTTTCATCTTGATTCCATTCTAACTCGACCGCAGTCTAAGACACGTTCCCTAAAGAGAGAAGAAACTTGTAACGTTGCCACTAACTCCTGTGTTCCTCTTCTCGTCTCTAGTAAAAATGCAAGAAAGAAATGCATCAAGGTTAATCCTCGCTTTGCTACAGAAATTCCTAGTGGTTACAAGGAATTTTCACGAAGGTACATTCGTCTGTAGGTAACGAGGAGATTGTGGTTAACCAGTAGTTTTTTCCCCTTTCAACACTCGACTCCTAGAAATTGCGGCTGGTGTATCTAATTTACTCTTCGCGTGATTCTAATGGATATCTTGTCAGAAACTTAATCTTTACCTAATAAGTACGATGCATGTAAATAATCTTAAAGCTGTTTAGCGAGTTTGACACGATGTTATTGAATTATTGCATTTCTTCTTAGTTTTCATAATCCTTTAGGGGGTTTCTTTAATTACAATTAATTTTCTTCGAGTAAATTCCACGTTCGACAGTTTCTGGACATCGAGCGTGTCCGAAGCGAGGCAAAACATACCGTTTAATTTTTAACATCAGCTACCAAGGAAGAGGAGGAAAGTCGCTCGTTAAAATGTTAATAGCCCCGGTCGAATTCGTTCGGATCGTCCGCGAAATTTACCGCGAATAATTTGATGCCTAATCAAACCGGTCTTAGAATGCTCCACGTCGTTGTTCTTTCGACGAAATAACTGCACGTCAACAACGTAAACTGTATTCATTTTTGATCTCGAAAAATTCAGTTAAAAAAATTCAATTCTTTCAACACTCATAGGTGACATTAGAAAAATATTAGCTTCCACTTCGAGGACAATTTTTCGAAGAAATACCGACACGTTTCAATCTCTTTCTCGGGGTATACGTTCATGGTCCATTAAACTTTCGTGCGGTGCATCCGGAGTTTTAATACAGAACTTTGTAAATCGCACCGCGTTCAGATCACCGTAGATGATATCCGAGCGAAAATTGCAAGCTGTCTCCTGCATACACATGAAATCATCAGAATTAATTTTTAGGTTTAATTTTTCGCAGAGTGCAATGTGGCTGGGTTCGTCAGCGGCGTCGGTCAAATTGAAAAGGTGCCGTACGTGTTTCTACCCCAACGGGGACAGATAATCTACCCTCACGCGGAAATTCGATTCGAAGGTAATTTCTATCGCAATAATAGCAGAATTTGGAATTTGAAAATTAACACTTTAATTACTGCTGTCGTTAAGATCGTCCTCGAGTTATCATGAATTTGTGTTAAATTTTTAATTGATATATCATAAGAGAAATTGTATTTGAACGAAGGTGTAACGACACCGGTCTGCGGAATAACCGGTGCCCAGCAATTAGGAAGAGCAGGATGGTCGGAGCTGAGGAACCTTTCGGACACCGAGCCACCCTTCAGACTGTTCCGCGACGAGGGCAGGACGTTTCTACAGGTTCGTCACGTTAATTGATACAAAATTATTTATTATGCTGTTAGAAATTAATGTCGCAATCGGAGCTGTCGAATTATCAGAAATTTTGAATGGAACGAAGGGTTGGAAACTGATGCTGAGGATGATTCCGGTTCGCGAGCCACTTTCTGATCACCGTTATGTTGAGTCACCGTTACGGAGATAATTGTTTCAGAAAAATTCTTTTGGAATGATCGTTTTCTTCTGCGGAAGCTTTAAAAGAAGAAAACAGGACTTACAGTGTTGACAGTGGTCTCTGTAAAAGGTTGATAATTTTACTAGAACTATGTATACGTTGATTGGTAATTAATTAATTAACTGGTAAAGTGGTTTTTGAGGAACAATGAAATTTGTAAACAAATGTTTATTTAATTTTCTTTGGTAGAATATTTTTAACTTGTACAGTTTATTATGTTTCTATCAAATAATTAGTTGAATACGAATAATTTAGTATGTCGGACTCCATCACTGTCAGGTGCTTCAGAAACGAAGAAAAATTAACATAGCTAAATTTAATGAACTGTATCAAAAGTGGCACACTTGTAACATTACTCCTTTCCTTTATGACTAATCAAAGACTTGGATTTTTAAATGAAATGCAAACTGGAAGAGTACAACCGTAATTTCACGAGAAACAGTTTATCCGAGGTAAATGAACGAAATATTGCATCCCCGTTCGATAATTACTTATAAAAAGCTTGATGCAAGGCTATAATAAGAAGGATCCTGCTCGTGAATGCGACGTTATTTTAAAATTTCATGCTCCTTAAAAGAAATAAGGAAAACCTGGTACTGTAACAAAATTTCGTTTCAATAGCCATCGATTCCACGTTCGAAATGAATTCCTAAAATTAATTATTTATGAAATTCTGTTTCAGTGGATCGGCGAAACGGGATTAAGAGAGGCGGCGGAGGGTCGGGTGGTGACAGCGAAACTCGTCTGCAGAGATGCATCGCCGAAATCAAAGCTTCCTGGTGTTTTCACTCCATGCGTGGCTTTCAGAGTGGCTGGATCACCGTCGAAAAACAGTAGGCATCGTCCGTTCCCTTCTGATACTTTATAAATTCCTTCCTTAAAAATGTCATTTCATTTAGACGTTCGAGAAGTGACGTTCTCCTCGACGACCCAGCTCTCCCAGGGACTCTCCGCCACCGAATACACAGCCATAGGTCTGTCCTCGGTGATTTTGGCGTTGATCTATGTCGCCAGCGTGTCTTTGTACCTTCACAGTAAAAAGGCGAAGAGAAAGATCGTGGAGGAACCGGAGATCAGCTTATCGCACGGTAGGGAAGTAAGCGGATTAGTGAAGAACAACCCATTGCTCGCTGCTTCCAGACACTTTGAGAGCGATACAAACAGCGGTCTCACGGAAAGCGACGTGGGCGACGAACTTCCGCCAAGCGACGGTGAACATGGCTTCGAAAACGTCCGTACAAATGTGCGTAGAATCGAGCAACTTGCGGTTAAAATTTGTAACTTTATTTGAAGAACATAGAAAAACAAGGATGTCGATTGTGAACAGGTAACATCGGCTATCGTTCATCCTCATTGTGTCTATCTGGACCAATCGGAGGCCTGCTTCGGATCCGGAACGATCTTAGGTGAGAGGATTCCGGAAGAGGATGTACGAGTCGTGGAGACCGCAGACAATCCCCATCAGCAAGATGCTCCTGTGCTACCCGGTGCTCAAAGAAGAAAATTGTATTTCAACCCCGCCTATTTTGACAGGCAATTGCTACTCGTAAGTGAAGGTTTTATCGGTAGGTTTTAAGGTAGATCAACTGGCAATTCAATTTTACTATTCATTTAAGTACCGCCATGTTTGATCTTCGTCTGCTGATAATTTCGAGGTAATTTAAAGACAGCCGGGAATTTTTCTAGGCTCCCCCTCCAGCAGCCATCGAGTTCCTTCTCAAAATCCGGGAGGTCATCTCTATCGCGAAGCACAAGATGGCCGCCAAGAGGTTCGTTCCTACCCTTGTCAGTATTCCGGAAGAGGAAGGCAGCCAGGAGCAATGCGATACCAAGGGCCAGCATCATCAATCCGCTTCGAACTCGGCGCAAGAGTCGATCGCGAGATCACGGAAGTCTCAACGATGCACAGGGTGCCCCGGTTGCACGGACTACCTGCGTGGCACGCCCGCGTTTCCGGAAGTCGATCAAGCCAATCCTGGTGAGAGCAAAGTCCGAGCCTGGCTAGAAGACGTGCGATTAACTCCTCAGCGTCGTTGGAAGAACTCGGATGAGTGTCAAAGGATCGTTCAAGAGAACAGTAAGAACTTCAGTAAGAACCTTGAATATCTAAAGGAACTGGCTAAACAGGACCTTGATTCAGATACGAGGAGTTTGACAAGAAAGTTTTCTTCGTGGAAAGATAATCCAACCATGGCCAGAAGCTTCCAAAACGTAGCCAGAAGTGAAATTTTAGAGACGGACGATAGATACAGTGTTTCGAAACGCTCCACCAAGTCAATGTTCGAAGAGTTCAATTATTATTCTCAAAGAAACGGGGATCCTTCGGTGGATTCAAATGGAAACAACACTATGAATGCTAAAGTGAGGAAGGCAATAGAGAACTCGTTCATCAAACAAATGGAGGAGAATTCTATTCTAGAGAGCCAGGGTATCGAGAAACAGGAGGACACAAAGGAGGAAGCAATCTCCGAGAGTAGAAATAAAGAAACCGAGAAGATGGATTCGAACGACAGCTCCTCGGTAAAACGAGGAAAGAAAGTAAACGCGAGTTCACCATCGGCGAAGGAACTGCCAGACATGATCAACGAGCTGCCTAATGCGAAAAACACGGCGAAACGCATTATGGACGCGGTGATCCGCGAGATGGTTGACGCTAAGGTACTGGAACATCATTCCAGATCAGGTACCATTACCGATTACGAGGTGGATAGTCTGGAGCGATCAAAGTCCAGCAGAAAATCATCGGTCTCACCCGAGTCTACCGATCAGTCCAGCCCTTCCTTGTCCACAGCTCTGCCGATGGACGAGGAATTAACGATGCAGAACGCGGTGATCAACACCAGAACCAGGGAAATGATGTCTAATAAACTGAACAAAGACATCGTGGAGAAGAACTATTACAACAGTCTGCCTGAACTGATCTCTTCGCAGAGATCCGAGAGTTACTCGTTGGTCAGCGAGGTGTACGTGAACGACGGCTACGACAGTCCAGCCTGCAGCGACGATTCAGGCCCGGAGATTCGTTACGAGCCTGAAAACCCAGGCCACCTGACCATCAAGGTACAGGATTCACCTGAGAACTACGTGAAGCAAGACGAATCCGAATACGAGCCCGACACTTTGGATAGGAAACCAATGAAGCTGAAGATCAACGACGACGTTAACTACGAGAAGGACGTTCCTGAAGAGATCTACGTGGACTCTCTGGAGAGGCCAGCCCAGATACTGCTGAAGAGCAAGGGTAGCTTTCGTGATCAGGACTCGAACAGAAGCAACACACCCCTGCAACGTGGGTACGGTAGCCTCCGAGAGATCTACGAAGCCAGACTGAGATCAAACATCAGGGATTGCAACCTGTCGAATAGTACCAGGTCGTTGAATGGACACGTGGATGATGTATCGTGGAAAAGGTGCAAGTACCTGACCCCTGATAGCAGACAGCTGAAGCGACAGAGACAACCGAGTAATCAACCGGACGTGGTGCCATTACCCCCGACAGAGGATATCTATCAGCACCCAAAGCCCCCGCGTCGCGTGAAAGACGCCCCCTGCCCTGTGTCAAAAAACGGTTGGGACAGGAGTCCTGCCGAAGCGGGTGACCCTACGACCAGCAACGGTGCTCCTGTCCGTAGCGACAATCTAGACGTAGGGACCACTGGTCCTCCTTGCTGTTGCAAGCCTCGAATGTCCGAGGAGTCAATAGCCAGGTGTAGACACCAGGTAGGTACGCATTCCAGGAACAATTCCGTGAAAGAAAAATCGAAGACGAACTTCTCCTCCTGGGGCAACGCTCGGTGCTGTCAGAAGGAGATGAAGAAGCTCCTGGATCAGTGTCATCATGTACTGGGTACGAAGGGGGAGAAATCTAGGCAGGACTATCAGAAAGAGGCTCATACTTGCAAAAGGCACTCGAGAAGCTACGAATCTATTAACTCTACTAATCATACTTTTGGTTGTCAACCATCCAGGATCAAAGTGGAGGACAGTGGGTATCTGAGCAGCACGGATAGCAATGGATCCCATAAGCAATTACTCAGACACGAAGTGAGCAGTGTCTCTGAAACTGACGAAACAGAGTCTGTCTGTGATGGAGCTAGCGAGAGTGGAGCTGAGAGCGTTGGTACCGACAGTGTATTCTTTGGAAATTTTCGTAGACTCGCTGACAATTCTAATTTTTCCAATATTATTGATCCGAGTATTGATGTTAATGAGAAGAATATGTATCTTCAATCGTTTGCCATCAGAAATGATGTTGGGGGTTCAGAGAGGACCAACTTTAGCACTAGTGATAGCGAAACTGAAAGCTTCATCACTGTTCTCCCACCCTGCAGAGCTGGGGATGCGATTTGATAATTTAATGAGGATTAAATTAAATTAAGAAAAGAAGAATGGAGAATTCTTCTTTTGCCATGGAGAGTTTGTAAATTTATTGAAGAAATATCATAACGTTAATGGATTAGTAAGTATTTATTTGAAAGTTAAATTTTCTTCTTTTTTCTGAAACAGGGAGACGAAGTTCACTATTTAACAGTATTAAATACGTTTAAAATCAAAATCTAGTTGCCATCAGGGTAGAGACTTTAAAAAATGGCAACAAGTATTTCCTTTCTATACACGTATTTAGTATTGTTTAAGTCCACGGCCAGTATACTGCTTCTTCCTTTTTAGAAATCGTAAGCAAAGGATTTTATTCATTCTTACTGTTGATAATTTAATGAAATATCAAACGCGATGCGTTTAGGGGTTCGTCAAACGGGTAAAATAAATTAAAGTTAACTTGAGGAGAGTATAGAAATGCTATTAAAAAAAAAGTTTATATATTATTAGTTTACTTGAGTTAGGTATCAGAATTCTAATATATTTATGACACTATATAATCGTTAAATATTGTATTTTTTTAAATCAACAAGAATAATTTAAATAATTAATAGAAATCATATAAAGATTATGGTCTGCAATGTTTATAAACTGCCATTGTAAGATTTAATTTAATGATAGTGGCCGGAGGTGTGCAATATTATTTTTTAATGGGAAGATTATGAATATATGATCAATAAATAATAACAGAACGTTATTGCTAGTCGATGGGAAAGAAGAAGTTATTAAACACTATTGTTTTAGATTTTAGCAAATTATTTTTAAATGCAGGAAATCCTTTAGAAAAATTGAAATTCTTCCAAATTTTATTCTGGAAGATTACCCTTCACAGATTTATTCAATTATTATATTATTACATATTCTTAAAATACTGTTACTCAATTTATCACAAACATGAATGATATCTTGCCAAAACGGTATTAATAATTTACAACTATTTTTTTACTACAATACATGTGTTATTGTTATAACTTTTCCTAAACATTAAGAAGAAAACGATATTTTCCTTTAAAGCTACTCATTAACATTTCACTGTATATACATATATATAGATTAGTATAATTTTGTTATTTTTCTTGTTGCAATATAAGATATAGTTAATTGTATTCATTATCAATGATACAGATTTTATTTATATATATTTTATATTAACTTTAAATATATCCTAATATATTCTATTGTTATCGCGTTAATTTAATATATGAATATACGTGAAAATGAAAAGCAATTGTTAAAGAAACAGAAACCGTCCTCTAACAGTTCTTATATTTTAGATTCAATGTTTTTCATATTTCTTTATATTTATATCAGAAGCGCACGCTTCAATGTACCTGCCAAATGTATATACAAAATAGATTTTAATATATTGAACGAAATAGCGATAGTAGTAGGTATACTTTATAAATCGTTAAAAAAGGGAATATTATTCTATCGTTACGAGTAAGTATTATAAAGAAAGATTTGTTTAAAATTAATGTATGCATTTCCAGACAAAAGTATGGGGCCACCTCTCGACAAAGACTCAAAGTCTGATTTTAAAAAAATATGTAATAAAAGGTGTCCGTAAATAATTCCATCGTCTCACTTTTTTAATGTGTTCCATTTTTGTATGATTTTTTTTAATCAATACACGTTTTAAAAATGATACTGGAATTTCTATCTATCGGTAAACAGTAAAATGTATGAAATAAAAAATTGTCTTTTCCATTAAAATTTTGAGAAATCAGAAACTATTAGATAACCGAAAGGAAAACTGTGGGAAAAATGAAATAATCTTACTGCATATAAACAAATTTCTTATATTTAAAAGTGCCTTTTACATTTATAAATATACATCATTTATATCAATTTTAAGTTACAGAAAGTATTGTCTAATAACAATTTACAATTACTGTTAATACATACTATAATTAATTAGTACAATCGATATCAGTCGCTGCTTCCTGCAGCATATTTGCAATGAAATCAATCAGTTCCTTTTTATAAGATTTAACCATTATTAAATTATCCTGATTAAGATCTCCTCCTTCATTATCAATTATGTAGTTTACTACCTTCCATAATATATCTCGTAAACTCAGTAATAATTCCGCCGTTCTGAAAAAAGACAATGATACGTGAAATAAGCTTTAGAAACGCAACATGCAGAAAGTAAATATAAAAATACGAACTCTTTGTCACTACAGAACTTTACATTCTCTATATTATTTATGCGAATAACGACTTCGTTCGTCCGAGTAAAAGGAAGGCTTGCTTTTCTCTGCAAACGAATAATATTTAACATATTTTTTTGCTGAAAAAACACACGTAGCATGTCACTTATTATTTATCGCGTTCATAGAACCGACATGCTATACAGCTCATTTGTTCGGTGTAAGAAAAATACTTTTAATTTTTAGGGAAAGAGGTTAAACATATATTGACTTGAGCACGAAGAGCGTACCTCCCAGCATCGAACGTCATTATGGCTAAATAACAAAACCGATAGGGGTGTCAGCATGCTTGTTTCAAAAACTGTATGTCCCCTAGCAAATTTCATCTTTCTAACATAGGTCAAAATATTACTGGGCCAGTTTTGCTTCTTATAGTTTACACTTGTACTTGTAAGTACAACCGATCGACCATCCCTACAAAAGAATGAAGTAGGTATATAAACCAATATCGTTTTCTGTTTATTAATAATTCTTGTAAATATATACAGACTCAGATGTGAATGATTCTTTTTTGACGAAAAACCGTCTTCTAAATCCATAGGCTGATCTCTTTAGTACGTAATTTGTAGCGGCAAATAATGTTGCTCGAATTAGTTCATTATTATCGCAACACGTATTTGCGAATTCGGTATTAGATGACTGAAGCATCCCGCTGGATTTAAGTTCAGTCATATGCAATGCATAGAGCTCTACAAATAAACTTACAGTTGATTCAAATATCAAAGCAAATACTGTTATGTTCAAAAATAGTTTACAAACTTACTCTTTACCATATGAAAGAAGGAAGGAATATAAATATCACCAGGTTCTTCGTTACACGATTTCCAATAATCAAAATATTTTATCATAGCGATGTGATCGCTCGTTTTATGAAATTCTAATTTGTTGGTTTTAACAGCTGATTTTTCATTTGACCCTTCGCTCAATGAAAGGACACTACTTTCGCCCAATGGTAAAGAAGTTAATAACAATATCGGTCTTAAACACCTAAACAGTGAAAAATAATTGTTTAGAATAATACCTATAACTTGATAGAAATGAATATGTATTACTTACTGGAAAACACAGGACAAGATTATTGCTTTACTTAGTCTAGGATCCAATGAAAAATGCGATACACGCTTTCCTAAGCTTGTAAGGTTTTCATTGTCATCAAGAATACCAAGCTTTTTTAGATTATCTCGAGCATGAAATAGCGTTTCAAAATCAGGTACATTAAGCATACTATCAAAAAAATCAAATATATTTTCATTACTAAGTTTTCTACTAATAATAATTGCTTCCTCCAATGGTGTTCTAAGTATTTCTGGTTCTGGATGTAAGTCTAATGAATCGTACTCTTCTTTTGTAATTAAATGATAACTTTCACCGGGTCCAACGCGTCCGGCTCTTCCTTTCCTAAATATTTATGAAAACACCCTTTATATTTCCTTTCTTTTTCGATATAAAAACACGATGCTTTTATGTAAAAGTTACCTTTGATGAAGATTTGATTTTGATATCAAATTGGCTTGCAATACGGGTACAGAATCACCTTTATACCATTTCTTTTCTTTCTTAATAGCAGAATCTATAACATAACTAATGTCTTTAATAGTAATGCTACTTTCCGCAACATCTGTAGCTAAAATAATTTTTCCACTAACTGGTTCAAAAGCCTTTTGTTGAATCTCAAATGGCACTTTCGAATGAAGCGGCAATATTAATAAATTTATGTTTCTTTCTTTAAGTAACTTGTGTACATGTTTAATTTCTTGCCAACCTGGAAGAAAACATAAAATATTTCCAGGCGGTTTATTTCTAGTAATCCATTGCACTAGTTCCACTATTTTGTCAAAAGGAATTTCAGTTCTCTGTCGTTCGTCGTTGTTTTTAAAAATCTCGATATCTTCCTTAAAGTACGTTTTTACTGGATATGTTCTTCCAGGAATATCAATGACTTCACAGGAAAAGTATTGTTTGAATAAATTCACATCTATAGTTGCAGACATAAGTATAAGTTTTATAGATGGATTATTCTTCAATATATCTTTAAGTAATTTTAGTAACACGTCAGATTGTAGGCTTCTCTCATGAACTTCATCCATAATTACATGTGATATTCCTTTTAAAGTAGGATTCGTTTCTAATACTCGTAATAATACGCCGGTTGTATAAAACACAATTGAACCAGGCAGTTGTGGCAGTTTATTATCAAATCGTACGTGATAGCCAACTATATCACCAACACGTTCATATCTTTCCGATGCAACCCGATCAGCTAAAGAAATTGCTGCAACTTTACGAGGTTGAGACACAATTATATTACATTCATTTGCTTTATTTTGTTCTGTATATGCATCCATAATGAACTGTGGGATTTGAGTACTTTTTCCACAACCAGTGTCTCCCTTAATTAATACTACCTGATTATGTTGTAAAGAATTAAGTATTTCTTCTCTAAAGAAAAAAATTACTCTATTTTGGTAAATTAAAAATAACTATGAAACATTTTAGTAAAGTATACATATATGTAATCAGTACTTTAATCATTTTTTTTTTTGTTTCGTATTTACGTATACATACCTATAATCGTGAATAGGTAATTTGGTGATTTTATCTTTCCTTTCTTCCAGCATTTTTGTTAATGTAGCATTAAATTCTGCAGAAACACTTGACGATACTTTAATTGTTGATACTTCCTCTAGGTCCGGATTTTCAATATCAATACCAGGTGATTTGGTTATTACTGATTTTATATCCTACAAATAATTGTTATATGTAATAGACATAATTATAAGCATTAAATATACATTTGTACTATTTATAAACCCTACATCTTCAAATGTTTTAATTAAAACTTTTATTTCATTTTTTAGTTCTGACTCAATATTTATTGGAATAGGATTTGTAGATTCCAAAAGAAGTTCCTTCAATTGTTTGGTACTATATAGTACTGGCCTTTGTTCTTTTATGTAATTATTTTCATACAACCACTGTAAACATTTCAGTGCTGCATTATGTCCAGCTTGTTTCTTCTTGGATGCGTCAGACGCAAAAATCATGTTACGAGGCCATGTAATAGTAATATGACACATATTCGTGTTACCATTATCTTTGTATGAGACTGTTATACAGTTCTTCTGAAATTCATTATCCACAATGGTATAAATATTCATGAGACTGGATAATGGATGTGGATGTAATTTTTTAATGTCTGAAACTTATAACAAAAGAATATTTAATGAATGATTGCATTGCATATTTTATTTATCATTCAGTAAAATATATTAATTTTTTATCATCTTACTATAGTTACTACTTAGTGATTTTCTTGAACTCTCAAAATGTAATATATTCGAATCAGAATCTTCATATTTCTGCAACATTAATAATATCTCTGAAGTAGCATTTAACTTTCTAATTGTATAATGTTTTTATTATGATAAACATTTACCTGTTCATACTGATTTACTTTTTTATTGTCACACTTATTTATCTGCAAAAATGAAAATAATTACAGTATGTTTAAAAAATTTCAAAAATGTAGAATATATCCATATTTATATCATCTTACTTCACCAAATTTATCTGGATCTACATCTGCTTTTGATTGTCCATTAAAGACAGAATACATTGCTTTCTGATGTTTATGAAACTCTTTAATATGTGATCTACATATTTGTTTCATACTTAATGATACCAAGCTGTTAATATAAAAATATGTTACTTTTAATTACCTATTCTAAAACTTAGACTACTTAATAATCTTATAATACATCTTTTGGAAATACGTGTATTACTTACAAACTATTAATTGTCATTCTCGAGCTAGATGTTATTTGAGATAAAAACATTTTTCTAAATTCAATAATAACTGCTTCATAAACTAGAATTCTTTGGTGACCTATATATCCAAAAAATATTACATATCCTGCAACACAAGGGTTAAAACATGAAAGATTAATTATTAAAAAGTAAACCTATAATATTTATATTATACACTTTAGTGAAAATGAATAATTAAATATACACATATATGTATATACATACAATATTTATTTTCGGTCTTTTTTTACATCAACATTACGTTTTTATATATTTATTTTACTCAATTTCTAACATGCAAACGTGCATTATGATTACCGACATGGAAAAAAATTGGGGTCCCTGACACCCCGGAGGCCATATTGTCGATATGCAGTCATCCGTGCTTCGGGGTCCCTGACACCCCGGATGCCGCAATATCGGTATGTAAATTGTATCACCGTTACTTTGGGGTCCCTGACACCCCATATGATATCAGGTCGGTATGCAGAAAGCGCCACTGATGCATTGGGGTCCCTGACACCCCGGATGCGGCAATGTCGGTATGTAAATTAAATCATTGGTATTTCGGGGTCCCTGACACCCCAGATGATATTGAGTTGGTATACAGAGAGCGTCGTCGATGCATTGGGGTTCCTGACACCCCGAAAGCCGTGATATCGATATGCAGAGAGAGTCATTGGTGTTTCGAGGTCCCTGACACCCCAATATGACATCAGGTCGGTATATCCCCCTGTGGCTCGGGGGGCTTAGAATACGGCCACGGTATCTCCTGCCTGTCGTAAGAGGCGACTAAAAGGGGACACACATACAGATTCAAGTATAGAAAGAGTGCGAGATTTTAAAGTATGGACCAGTATGACTGGAATTAAAAGTACGCCACCCTCAATAAAGGGAAACTCAGTCAAATCAAATCAGGTCGGTATACAGAGAGCGCCACTGATGCATCGGGGTCTCTGACACCCCAATGCCATAATGTCGGTATGCAAAGAGTGTTGCCCGTATTTCGGGGTCCCTAACTCCCCGAGATGATATATCGGTATGCAGAGAGAGTCACCGGCACTTCGAGGTCCCTTTCTATATCACATGTGATTAAATGAACGCCACGTCTATAACGTGCTGATTGTAACTCATTTGCCGGTTTGACAAAAGTGTTAAATAACTATAAGGCTCAAGTAATTTATAGAACAAAGAATGATTGACCGGAGTATAAACACATTAATATGGAATATCGGATTGTTGTTTGGATTAATTATTCTAGTTTCTGGCTCGGGTGATACTATCGATCCTGATCTGAGTTTTAAAAACGTGGAAAAACATATCGATTTACAATCACAATTAACAAAAATTACTGCCAGACTTGTATTAGAAAATGGAAGCAAAGATCGTCATATACGAAATTTCCTTTTTGCATTGGAACCTAAGCAAAAAGAGAGTCTCAGTTACATAGCAGCTTACAGAGAACCTGTGCGAGTTGAATTAAAGTTGACTGAAATAAAGGTAAATGCACATCCAGATAAAACTTTTTATCAAATTGAATTGAAGGACCCACTTTCTCCTGGGAGAACTATGTCTGTGGAAATTGAATGGATATTAACACATGAACTTATACCTCATCCTAAGGAGATTACGCAAAAGGAAAAGCAATTAGTAAAATATATAGGAAATATTTATCTTTATTCACCGTACAGTATAACAAAACAGACAACCACTGTGTCTTTACCATCACGTAATATGGAAAATTATACTAAATTTAAACCTGTTTCACAAAGTGATTCTGTAATTACATATGGCCCATATGAAAAGCTTCCATCATTTTCTTATGAAGAATTAAACATACATTTTGAAAACAATAATAAATTCTTGACTGTTACCAGACTTGAAAGGAGTATTGAAATATCGCATTGGGGTAACATAGCTGTAGAAGAACATATTGATTTGTTACACACTGGTGCATTATTGAAAGGTTCATTTTCGCGTTATGAATTTGCCAGAGAATCAAAATCAGGCCAGGCTAGTATTCAAAGTTTTGATACTATTTTACCTGCTGCTGCATCTGACATTTATTATAGAGATGAAATTGGAAACATTTCAACATCGCATACACGTATAAAAAAAGACTCGGTGGAATTAAATCTTCGTCCGAGATTTCCACTTTTTGGTGGTTGGAAGACTAAATATATTGTAGGATATAATGTTCCTAGTTACGAATATCTATTTCATGCTGGTGATCAGTATACTCTAGAAATGAGATTGTTAGACCATGTATTCGATGATATGATAGTAGATGAATTAATTGTAAAAATTATTTTACCAGAAGGTTCAACCAACATTGAATTGTCCCTTCCATATTCTGCAACACGTTTGCCGGATTCTCTTCATTATACATATTTAGACACCACTGGTCGCCCAGTGATTTCTGTTACAAAGAAAAACTTGGTTGAAAATCATATTCAAAATTTCAAACTGAAATATAAATTTCCACGTATATTGATGCTACAAGAACCGTTGCTTGTAGCAGCAGCATTATACTTATTGTTTTTGTTAGTAATTACTTATGTAAGACTTGATTTTTCTATTGATAAAGATGAGATTTCAGAAAGTAAGTTAAGAATTGCTGGGCAATGTGAAAAAATCTTAGCCGCACAAGATCGTCGAGTAACGTCTTACAACGAATTGGATGATCAACTGGCATATTTGAAAGCAAATAAGGATGCTAATGCATTCTTATCTGTTGTAAAAGGTATTAATCAAGAATATAAAAGTGCAACCAGTGCTATTAACGAAATTTCACAGCGCTTGAAAGGAGAATCTGGAGACATATATGATCGTGTTCAAGAATTACAAAAATATGATAGAACATTAAAAGAACTTTACAATCAGCAACAAGCATTGTATGTGGATAAATTAGTACCAGGTAAAATCGGGCGTCAGCAATTTGTCGAAGCAGAAGCGGTCATTACTAAAAAGAAGGAAGAATGTGTTGAAAAAATAAACTCTATTGTAAAATCTTTACAATAATGAAATTCATGCTTATACTTTCTTACAAGAAATGTTTGAAAGTAAATGACTTAATAAAAAATAGTTTAAACAATAATATAAATATGTTTAAATATTAGATGTTAAATTAGAACACCTTCCTACATGATAAGTTAAGATTTGTAATAAAAAAACTGATTTGTAATAAATAAAGACGTGTAAATTGTTTACCTCAAATTTTTTATTTTATAATAACAATTTATGTACAGAATATAAAAAATAAGAAAGATATAATTCATTACAGTCAATAAAATGTGGTAAATAATACGAAGGTATAACTTCGGTTTTCATGAAACGTCAAATATCCCATGAACTTAAATGCCATTGTACAACGCCGGTTAAATAAGACACCTGCTAACCTTTTATACAGTATCGTGTCTATATAAGAAAACTGTCATTTCATCGATAGGTTGAATGCTTGCAGTTAGAATGAGTAATTTACGAAAATTTATAGGTAATCAACATTTTTAATTAACGATCGTGTTATTAGTTTGAAGCTTAACAGTTGTGTATGTGATTTGTAACATATTTTTTTGTCGTTTTGAAGTATTTATTAAAAGGTTATATGTTGACGAGTGATACAGTCTGCCGTTGTCAATTTTAATACAGATATCGGAGCCAATTTGACAGATCCTATGTATCAAGGAATTTATCATGGATCTCAGAAACATCAGCCAGATTTGGATAAAGTTTTAGAACGAAGTTGGAGCAACAATCTTTCAAAAATTATTATTACTGCCGGTAATATAGAAGAGAGCAAAAAGGCCCTTGAAATAGCACGAACGGATGGTAAAGTGTTTTTTTTTCCTAAATACTTGAAAAATTATTTGTTAGAATGCGTGTAACTTAACTTAAAAAGATGAAGCATCGTCACTGTCGCGTCTCTCTATCACGGGTAGCCACAGTTTATGATTTTCAAACTTTACATAGAGCTATTGATATATTGTAAACAAGTACATTTATTTTATACACCTTGCAGGCTTTCAATTGCGAGGGTAAAAATTTATTATTATATAATTACTGTTTCTTTGTTATTAGTAGATCGCAATGCAATCATTGCATATGAAGAAACCGCTGAAAGAGAGATGCAATGGTTGCTGTGATTCTATTCTCTAACTGCAACAACAAAATGCATGTCAATGGATATATCTAGGTACATACTATATCATAATTTTTCTTTTTTATTAAACATAATCGTATATTGACTATTATTTATATTCCAGAACGTCTATTTTCTACAGTTGGTTGTCACCCAACGCGTTGTAATGAATTTGAAGAAAGCGGTGACCCAGAAGGCTATCTCAAATCATTGTCAGATTTAGCTACAGACAATAAAGACAAGATTGTTGCTATTGGTGAAATGGGATTAGATTATGATAGATTACAATTTTGTTCCAAAGATGTTCAAAAAAAGTATTTTGAAATGCAATTATCATTGTGTTCCACATTAAAGTTACCAATGTTTTTACACTGCCGCAACGCTAGTGATGATTTTGTAAGAATTTTAAGAAAACATAAGGAGACATTAACAGCTGGTGTTGTACACTCTTTTGATGGCAATCCAGAAGAGGCTAATTCTATTTTACAAATGGGATTGTATATTGGTATTAATGGATGGTATGTCAAATAATCTATTTCGTGTAGCTTTTCATAACATTGATTTGATCTTATTTACAGCTCTCTTAAGACAGAGGAAAATCTGTTTGCTGTTACAACAATTCCATCAGATAGGTTGATGATAGAAACTGATTGTCCATGGTGTGAAATAAGGCCAACTCATGCTTCTGTAAAAGATGTTATTACCCACTTTCCATCCATTAAAAAAGAAAAGTGGCAACCCGATCGGATGGTTAAAGGAAGAAATGAACCATGCACTATAGTGTAAATATTAACTTGTTAAAAGTATAATTTAAAATTATTAAATTATATTATCGATTGATTTTATCTTTACAGCCAAATTTTAGAAGTACTCGCACGGATCAGAGATGAAGAAGAGGAATATTTATGCAATCAAATATACAAAAACACAATGAAAGTTTTTTTTCCTCATGAACTTTAACATATTAATCAAGAATGAAATACTTGTAATCAGCGTGTGTCTAGCAGTACACACTCGTACATATAATCAGGGAAGAAAGCTGTGAGACTATATATAATGCGAAAAAGAAAAATAATTTCTACCAAATTCATTTCTCAGATGGAAGAAAATGAAAGACTCATTTTTACAGAGCTTAATGGATGTGGCGAGCGTCATACTCCAACGATCTCTTTTCATATAAAATATTTTCTTGTTAAAATTATCATTATCACTATAATCATCGCCATTAGTTGCATTACTAGCGCTATTACAATTATATTTATAATAATAATTATTACCACACCTATATTTATCAACATTATTCTACAACTCCTATGAGCATCACTATTATTATTCTTATTACCATCAACACATATTAAGCTAATATTTTATATTTATATGTATATATATATATTATAAAATCAACCATACTCTCTACTCCTCCTTTATTTTTATAAAAAAAGAGAGCAAAAAAATATCTTTATTTAATACATCCTTCAATTCACACATTAACTTGTTATATTCTTATTCAATCACCATATCAGAAACATTAAATGAAGATACACATGTGAATACATAAAATAACGGGTTTAAGTTTAGTACTAAATAAAATAGTCTATATATTACTTTAATCATTATTTTGACATAGATATTAACTTTAAAAAAGACTGATATTCTCATAAAATTTTTAGGTTTTTAAAATATCATAATTCATTGGAATATTATACATCTTTCAAGTATCACAGGTATAATGGCCGCCACAATGTATTTGGAAATATGTAACATTTCGACTTCGGAATTATAGAACTAAATGCTGAGGTGTGGGAGGAGATTTTCATTGAGAAAATCGGTTTTTAACATCTAATGAATTTCATTCATGGAACTTTAGAAAGTGTTTGCACCTTTTCATACACCCAGTCATAAGTTCGACTTGCCAATGACTGTGTAGTATCAATAGCTTTCGAAGCATAATTTTGTAAATTTTCTGGACTCAATTTTCCACTAAAGAAAAAAAATAAAAGATGTTAAAAAGTATAAGATTCATACTTCAAAGATACTTGTATACTTACACAAAAACATTATGTTCTAGCCATTGAAGTGTTGCAGTTGAATGCTCACTAACTTTCTCTGCACATAAGTTTGAGTAAACCTTCACAAATTCTAAACTTTGGTTGCTCCACAAATTAATTTTATCTAACATTCCAGGAACATAATGTTCAATCTAAAAAGTACATAAAATATTGATGTGCTGTGCAAATACTTTATTATATTCAATACTCACTGTTTGTAAGACCACAGGTCCATTCTTTGCACCATATTCACCAATATTTTCATAAATTTTGAAAGAAATATTTCTTATCACAAGACAGACATCTCCAGCTAATTTGATGTAAGGTTTAAATGTTTCAACAGTTGCTTTATAATGCTCTGGAGAAGTAGATTCTATAAATTCAAGAGATTTAGAGGAATATTCTTGCACCAGAGTCCATGATTGTTGCCCATACGCATATGATACAGTTCTTCTCAAGCATTTACTTGTATTGGGTGCTATGGAATTACAATATTAATAACTTACAATTAGAATCAAATATATGAAACAAATATTTTTTCATTACCTTTAAAACAGCCATGTTTATAGGTATCATAACCAAAAACGACAGCAGTTAGAAGTAATAACAAAACAATTCCCTTTTTCCAAGGAAACTTTTTATCATTAGAAGCTGTCATTTTCACTAATAATATCTGCAATACAATAGTACAGGGGGAAATTAATCTTCAAGAAAATGTATTCCTTACTTAAAATACTTATTATCACCTTCGTTAAACAGTTTAATTAATTAAAGGTCAACTTAAAATACCATAAAAACAAACATGTTGTCGATTTGCGTAAGACGATTATATATTTCTTATTCGATTATATACGTTTCTTACCTTTTGAATTAGTAAAAAATAGAAAAAAAGATATTTTCTAAACTATTTATATTAAAGTACTGTTTTGAAAACGTAATTTTTTTACTGAAAAAAGATATAGGTAATACGAGGAATGATGTTAAATGCCGTGGTCGTAGCAGCGTTACCGTCGAAAGGACAATATGCGATCGATAATCTCTTCTCGAAAAAATAAGCTTACCTAACCTAAGCTATAGGTGATATTCAAATTTACCGAAAACGTCCAACGGTTGCCCACGTAATTTTTAATGATATGATTAATTTTGAGTAGAAGTTGCGAAGATAAGTGCCGCTAACGGTATTGATATTTAAATGAGCTTGTTCACGTGTGAACTTCGGCACCTCGCCAAAACATAACTTAATACGTCATATACCGCGGAAACAACGTTAAGTGTCTTTGCGCACACGTAAAAGCTACAAGTATGTACTACGCGGCATATTTCAAAAGATTTTGCAACTATACCGCAGTTCACCAGAGTCCATAACTGCGAAAAGACCAGTTTTCGTTCTTCGCGCTTCTCCAGTGCGCATCTTCGCCCTGATTGGCGATACTTCCAAACGAAGTGGAAAGCGATTAGCAGAGAGCTCGCTGCGTTCCCCCACCATCTTCCAACCTGCGCGTCGCAGTTATGGACTCTGGTGAACTGCGGTATAATAGCTTGTATCGTCCGGAGATAAATATCATTAGACTTTTGTGTCTTTACACTACACATGTTAATTCATTCATATTATACATAGTAATTGTATTGTAATAATTATATATTTAAATATGTTTTATACGTAAAATTTCAAATCTAAAACTTACCTTACATATTTTGCTACAACTGTTAGCAAGATTTTCATCTCTGCCTTTTTTCCACCTCTCATTTGTTGCCTGGAATGCTATACATGTTTCTTTCAAGCATTTTGCTTCCAGTTGTGTACGTAAGGTACTCCAATTAGCCTCTAAAAAAATTAAATAGATGTAAAATCGTACTTTCATTAATCAGTTCATAATATTTAATGATAAATGTTACCGATATATGTTAAAAGAAGATGAGATTGATATAAATTTTTAACATGAAGAGACTTCCAAACAGAGAAACACAAAGAATCTGTAGTCAAACAAGCTACAAGAGCTTTGATTAATTCATCTCTATAATTTGCGTGTACTTTCTGTGTAATTTTTCCCATCAGCATTTCAAACAACTTCACATAACTTATATTTTTATTCTTAATTAATATTAACTGGAAATTATTAAACGAATTTTAGTGCATCATTTTGAAGTGATTTTTTGGATTTATAAAAGTCAGATACCTACTCTTAATTTTTCCATACTATTATTAATTTCTCTGCTCACAGTGGCAGGAATATTATATTTTCCCGAATATGTATCTTCGACAATGTCAAGATACAGTTCTGGTTTAAGGTCATGGAAGTTTTCATGTTCGAACACAAGATCATTAAGAATTTGTGCTATATAACTAGAGTAACTTTTTGTTTCCAACATAGGAGACATTACTTCATGCCATACTTTCAAACCCACAGCCAAATTTTTTCTACCAGCTTGAGATAAAGCCCATAGCAAAGACAAACCAATAGTTTTTCTATTCTGATAAGAGTTTCTCACAGTGATCAATTTAGGAATGTTAGCAACAGTCATTTCAGGGTTGGTACGTGCTAAAAGTTGTACAAATATTTTGTGACCTACAGCAGGTGATCCTTTAACCATATCAGTGGCCATTGTAGTAAGAGTATTTTCATAAAAAAGTTGTGCTGTTTGTTTTCCTGCCATTTCAATGGCTCTCTCCAAAGTAGAAGAAATTGATTTAGGTACTATACTCAATGGATAGTCTTTAGGTTTTCCAGAAAAGATTGCATCTTCTTTATCAACTGGTATTTTTACATTCAGAAAAGCAGCAAGATCTTTCAACCAAATCAGTGGAGCATCTGGGAATCTGGTTTGGCCAGTAGTTAAAACACTGCGAATTTCATCTGCATTAATCTGTTGGAAATGGATTATTAAGACATAAAGTTATATATAAATTAGATGCAGTATATTTAGAATACATATATTTATACCATATTTAATGCATCTTTTATAGATTTTGGTGGTTTTTCTTTAGGAAGTTCTTGCTTCTTTTTCTCAGCCTGTTGCAATTTTTGTTGCTTCTTTTTCTCTTCATTTTCTTTAGTTTTGCTTTCTTTTTCCTTTGATGGCTTTTTATTTTCTTTATTGTGTTCTAAATTATCGTATAAAGTTTTTACCTGACTCAAAGGTACTGAAATAAATCGATTTTTTAACAAACATATTTTTCACTTGTATAGTGTAACTTAATATTGGACATTTTAAAACACCTTTTCATACAAGTTTTGTATACCAATTAAGGTAAACAATAATGCTTATGAATAATAATAATTTTCAAATAGAATGTAATTTAAAAAATTTAAAAATAATCAGAGGTTAAAAGAAAGTGCTTACGAAAATCTTCTACTTTTGGCGCATTTTCGATAAATTTCTTTTTCTCCGCCTTGGAGAGCTTATTAACCTTTCCATTACTCTTATCTTTTTTATTTCTTCCAACTAATTCCCATCCACCGGACGACATAGTGTATTAAATGCAGTAAACAAATGCACTCTTAACAATACTTTAAAAAAGGCACTGAAATGTTTGTTGGCACTTGTGTTGTCGACTGAATATATACGTGGTCGCGCATGCGTAGGAACCAATTTGCCACGCGCTATTATTGTTCCCGGAAAGTAGCTTTCTCGATACCCCCAGTGAAATATATTTTAATACATCAATATGTTACTCCTATTTTATTAATTAATACATAATTACTTGAAAATATTCTATAATATTCTTATTATTTTTCTCCCATAACATTGTTTTTACACCAGTTCAATCATTTCTATTTATAATATGCCCTAAAACTTGTTGGATTGAACTTTCTACTTTCACTATGCAATGAATATTCGGGTTACTTTAAGTAGTTTTAAATTACTTAATACTTCCTAATGATACTATATTTTTATATCAAATTTTATACACAATATTTTAATGTATCTGTATTATAATGTACTTGTTATATTTAACATAACATTGTTCATTTAATTTGCAGTCTTAGCTTGTTGAAAAACCTCATTAAAAAAATGAACGTGTTGATTTTATTACTCCTGTATGCCTCGCCTATCATTTTATTCTTTTATTTATTATTTTACCCCCATTTGAGGGCGTCGCGAGACTCAATCCTATATTCCTTATATCCTTGCATTTCTTACATATCGGCATCCATCACATCTCTGCAATCCTTACATTTCTGCATCCCTTTAATGCATCTATGTTTTATACCCCTCTATCTCTTACCATCCCTTTATCCCTTCCATTACTCTTACACCCCTGTATCCCTTACATCACGACATTCCTTACATCTCTCCATCCCTTACATCCCGACATTCCTTACATCGCTTCATCCTTTACATCCCAGCATTCTTCTCATCCCTACATTCCTTACATTTCTTCATCCCTTACACCTCTGCATCCTTTACATCTCTGCTTCCCTTACATCCCTGTATCCCTTACATGCCTCTATCCTTTACATCCTTGTATCACTTATATTCCTTCATTCCATACATTCCAGTACCCTCCCTGAAATTGAGTTGAAATTTTTACGGCTATAAGGCCTGCGATTTTATACAAATTTAGTTCCTTTGTTGCCACCAGAGGGCGCTGATTCGATGTCGAGATTTTAGTTCGCATTTTAGTCGCAAGAGGGACAAAAATCGACCCTGGTTTAGTTCCCCTTTTTGCCACCAGAGGGCGCTGATTCGACATCGAAATTTTAGTTCACATTTTTGCCGCCAGAGGGCCAGAAATTGAACCTGATATAGTTCCTTTTTTCGAAACCAGATGGCGCTGATCCGACATCGAAATTATAGTTTGCATTTTTGCCGCCAGAGGGCCAGAAATTGAGCATGATATAGTTCCTTTTTTCGAATCCAGATGGCGCTGATTCGACATCGAAACTTTAGTTCGCATTTTTGCCGCTAGGGGGCGCTGTTTTTCCGAAATTTTCGCGAAAAAAGGAACTAACTTACCTTTACTTACCTTTACTTACCTTTATTCGAAGCTGTCTTTATTATATATTTATTATAAGGGATGTAGAGATGTAAGGGATGCAGAGATGTAAGGAATGTAGGGATGAAAAGAATGTAGGGATTTAAGGGATGAAGAAATGTAAGGAATGTAGGGATGTTAGGGATGAAGAGATGTAACGGAACGAGGGATGATAAGAATGTAGGGATTTAAGGGATGAAGAGATGTAAGGAATGTAGGGATGAAAAGAATGTAGGGATGATAAGAATGTAGGGATTTAAGGGATGAAGAAATGTAAGGAATGTAGGGATGTTAGGGATGAAGAGATGTAACGGAACGAGGGATGATAAGAATGTAGGGATTTAAGGGATGAAGAAATGTAAGGAATGTAGGGATGTTAGGGATGAAGAGATGTAACGGAACGAGGGATGATAAGAATGTAGGGATTTAAGGGATGAAGAGATGTAAGGAATGTAGGGATGAAAAGAATGTAGGGATTTAAGGGATGAAGAGATGTAAGGAATGTAGGGATGAAAAGAATGTAGGGATGTTAGGGATAAAGAGATGTAACGGAACGAGGGATGTAAAGGAATTCCGCAGGAGTCCGGGGCTGGGGCCCCGGTCTCCACTGCACGCGGCCCGAGGAGTGCCGGCATCGGGTGTGGCCCCCGATGTCGGCGGAGTTTGGCACATAGCGGGGGGTTAAAGGACCCTTCCTATCGCCCTAGTGCCGGTCACCGTGGTGGTTTTAGTGGGTAAAAATCCCACACTACCTCCGGCCCCTCCCCAGGGGGGCTGAAGGTGTCTTTCTGAAGATTTCCACCACGTTAAAAAAAAAAAAAAAAAAAAAAAAAGGGGTATTTAAGGGTTGCAGGAATGTAAGGAATGCTGGGATGGAAGGAATGCAGGGATGGAAGAAATGCAGAGATGTAAGGGATACTGAGATGGCCTTGGCCTATAATGAGGGATAAAATTATATAAATAACTGGAAAAAGTAAAATAAATGGGGTCCTCGGCTGAGACCCAGAAGAGGGATCTAATCATAAATGTTATTGAATGAAATCAACCCTTTCTGATAGATCCCCCTCGCCAGAATGACGCTTTGGAGGGGCTTTCTTTTTTGTACTAGGATAAAGCAGATGGCGTTCATTCTCAAGGCACAAACTGCTTGAAAACAAAGATATGTCTAATCTTGTATAGTCGGTGCTTTAGGCCAAAGTTAATAACAAAGGGACTATTTTTATATTGTTCGGTTGTTAAAAGTATAACTGCAGCAGTTTTATTTTAAGAATCAAAATGCACGATGCTTACGAAGAAACGTTGATATTAAATATTGCTGTGCAAATAGAGTCTATGGCTGCATATGGTTTGTGATATATAACCTTTGTATTGGAAGAGTAATCATAACTATAAGTTTTATAAATAATAATGAAACATTTCAGATGACAATTTGTTAATTGGTACTAGAGACGGTCACCTCTTTATGTATAATGTACCATCTGTATATGATGATAATCACAAATTAGAATTACTGCGCCATAGCAGAAATTTTAACAAAAAACGTATCAATCAAATAGATGTTGTACCAGAACATAATTTGTTAATAATTTTAACAGGTATAGTTATCTTTGTGTTTAATTTTTACTGAAGCTAGTATTTTGATGATACCATTCTTTTACAGATAATATAGTATGTGTTCATGATTTAAACTCACCAAATTTTCAACAAATTTCTCAATTACAAAAGACCCGTGGTGCTACCCTGTTCACTTTAGATGTACAAACAAGTTCTACTGGTGAAAAAAATACAGTTGTACGTTTATGTGTTGCTGTTAAACGTAAGCTACAGTTATATTCTTGGAAGGGAAAGAAATTTGAAGAATATGGAGAGTTTGAACTTTATGTATCAGATATACCACGTGAACTATCTTGGTAATGCATATGATGTAAAATGGATTATTTATTTTTATGATAAAATTTTTCTTAATTAAAATAAAGGTGTGGTGAATCATTAATCATTGGATTCCGTGGACTATCGTACACAATTTTGGATTTAAATGGAAAAACTAAAGAGTTATTTCCAACTGGAAAATCTCCTGAACCAAGTGTTACGAAACTATCTGATAATTCTTTTGTATTAGGAAAAGATTCTCAGTCCTTTATCATGGATGCAAAGGGTGAATTGATTCAACACAATCCATTAAAATGGTCTGATACACCAAGTGCAATAGGTATATAATTCATAAATTATAATTAGACTATTATGTAGTTATTTAATTATTTTAGTGTCATATAGATTGAATTATTTCAGCTTGGGATGATCCTTATCTACTTGGAATTGTACATGACAGATTGGAAATATACACTATAGAGGGTTGTATGCATATTCAAACAATAAAAGACTTGAACAAAGCCAGGCTAATATATAGATGCAAACAGGGGAAGGTTTTTGTGGCATCAATTAGTCATATTTGGTGTGTAAATGGAGTTGATGTAACACACCAAATTAGAACATTACTTGAACAAGATCAGTTTCAGCTGGCACTGAAACTAACTGTACGGAAATAATATTTTCGATTTTTTTTTGTCGCCATTAATTGTGATAGTTGTAGATAATTACAAATATATATTATATGATTTTAGAGTTTGTCAGATATATCCGAAGAGGAGAAGATTAAACAAACATACAAAATTCAGACATTATACGCTCATCATCTCTTTCATAACAAAAGATTTCAAGATGCAATGGATTTATTTTTAAAGTTAGGAACAGATCCATACGAAGTGATCACGTTGTTTCCTCATTTGGTTACACCATCGACTAATAATTCTGAAGTCAGTGATCCATCTTTGCCCAAATTACAAGATCATGACTTGGAAAAGGGCTTGCGCGCATTAATAGTTTTTCTTACCGAAGTTAGACACAAATTACTCGGTGATCCCAAATCAAAGGATAAGGATAACAATAAGGAAAAAGGTTTGATAGAAGGAGAGAAAAATATGACAGCAGTAGCTACAGAACAACTCCTAAAAATTATAGATACAACTTTGTTAAAATGTTATTTACAGGTAAAAATTTGCGGCTAATGATAAATAATTATTAGTTAGAGGATATTAAAATTTATCATTTTTCTTCCAGACTACCGATGCGTTGGTAGCGCCGTTACTTCGACTGAATCATTGTCACTTAGCGGAAGCTGAAAAGACTCTATTAATGCATCAAAAATATCCTGAACTTATTATACTGTACCAAACTAAAGGGCAACATAAAAAAGCATTGGAACTCCTAGAAAAACATGCGAAGGAAAATGACTCTAGTTTAAAGGGTACTGAAAGAACAATACAATACTTGCAACACCTTGGAAAAGATCACATGGATTTAATTTTGAAATTCGCTGGTTGGGTCTTAAATGAAGATCCAGAACAAGGACTTAGAATTTTTATGGAGGATATACAAGTAATATGTGACACGTAATATTTTATACAATTGGTACGATTTTTATGCAACTTACATGTATAGCATGCTTGTAATTGTAGGAAGTCGAACAATTACCAAGACCAAAAGTGTTGGACTACCTTCTTCGTTGTCATAAAGATTTAGTTATAACATACTTAGAACATGTTGTACATGTTTGGGAAGATACTAACCCATTGTATCATAATGTTTTAATACATCAGTATAAAGAGAAATGTTTAGCGTCTATGAGCGATACTGCAACACCTGCTGAGAAACAAACGGCGCAACACATTCGACAGAAATTACAACAATTTTTAGAAAAATCTGTTCACTATACCCCAGAAACAATATTAGTACATTTTCCTTTCGACAATTTGTACGAGGAACGGGCAATTATTCTTGGACGACTCGGACGCCATCAACAGACTATATCTATATATGTTAGTCTCCTTAATGATATATCAAAAGCCATTGAATATTGCAACAATGTGTACGCCAAGTATCAAAGTACGTATCAACTTGAACATCAAAAATATTTATTTAAAAATATATGCAATTGTACTCTTGTTATTTTAAGAGCAAGAAGGTACGGATAAGCAGAAACAGTCTGATGGAGCAGACGAGGTTTACATATTGCTTATTCAACAGCTATTGAAACCTGATAACGAAGGACTTCCAATGACAGGTAAAATTTTAATATAAACAGTAATTCGATACTTTGAAATGATAACAAGTGATATATATATAGAACTATTATTTTAGGACGTAGCCCGGAAATTCAAAGAACACCACAGCCCGACTTGGAAATGGCCCTTCAGATACTCGAAAAACATGCATCAAAAATAAATCCATTGAAAGCAATAGAGGTTCTGCCAGATACGGTTCCTATAGGTAGAATCAAACAGTTTTTAGAAGTCAGTTTGCAGGAAAAGTTGAATGCTAGGAGAAGGATACAAGTATTAAAAGGATTATTATATGCTGAACATTTACAAGTACAAGAACAACGAATGCATTATGAGTCGCAGAGTGTTCTTATGACGGAATTTAATATATGTCCAGTATGTAAAAAACGATTTAGTAATCAGAGGTTCGTATTTATATAGTGTATGAATAACATTGATTAATGACTACATGATTAAATTATAATATAAATTATTTTTCAGTGCGTTCGCGAGATATCCGAATGGTGATATTGTACATTATTCGTGTCAAGATCGTAAAGTATAAGCTACGTATAGTTTAAATATGTTTATTATATTAATTATTAAGTAATGTAAAATGTACCCTGTGATGTACCTCTGCTCATGCTACGTATATAAATGTACACATTTTCCAATTGCCTTCCTACTGAAATTTGCTGTGATCTATTCTTAAGTTTATTATTATTTTCGCAGTACAATCGTTAATATTTAATTTTATATTTTATTCTCTTAAATATGAAACTAAGAAACCTCTACTTAGTTACTTTATTTTATACGCATGTATTATATATGTATATATATATATGTCTCGTATACATATAGAAGTATAATATTTATTTATTTATTGATAGCGTGCAATATAATCTATATATTTAACAACAACGTATAATTAAAAATATTTTATTCTTTAATTTCGTAGTTTTTATCATTCAGAAGGAACTTAAAATACAAAATTTTAATAATAGACAGTATTTAACAACAGAATGCCATGAAAAAATGAATGTAAATAATCACATAATAAATGAGCTTTCCCATAATTTATTTTGAGCATTTTTCTTTATTCTTCCTCTTCCGTACATTCCAAACACTTTTTCTTTTTAATTTAGTAATATTTTCTTCAATTTTCGTAATAATATGTAATAGAGAGGATGGGGCGTGCCCGGTCCAGAATATGGGTAAACGGGACTAGTGATGTCACAAGTTATCATGTATTCCTACGCCGTCTGTTATAAGTCAGATACGATACTGATACAAGTGCAGTCTTAAATGCATTTACATTTTTCCATTCAAATATATATAATTAAAAGATTTAGTTGTTTTTATAGTTAATTCATTTAAATTAATTAATACAATTCTATCAATACTAATGATCACGAAATCATTATTTATAAAATGTAAAGGAAAATATAATAAAATAATTATTCACTGTTGTAAGCACATCTAATGAAGATATTTATGTTTCTTATGATAGTAATAATATTAATGTTAATTAACAATAATGTATAATCATTTTTTAATTCCTTTATTAGTAGTTCTAATATTAAGAGCATATCATCTAAACGAATGAGATAATGAAAATTCATAAAGAAATAATTATCTGATTATTTAACTTGAGTAGTGATTTAATTTTAATAATAATGTTTTATATATTTTCACAAGTAATGTGCAGTATTCTTTTTATGGTTTATTCTGATATTATCAAGAAAACAAACAAAATAATGATTATTTATTCATGTAAAGTAGTTTTAAACATTACGGTAACATTAGTTGCAGATATTCATAATATGCACGCGCGTTTTTTATTGGTGCATCAGAATTGGGACTAGCTACGCTGGCGTAGGTTGACGCCGTATGCGCTCAGTCAGTTGCGCGCCGGTCGGCTGTGTGGATGGGTTTGTGTGGATCGTTATCGGTGGTTTTTGGTGTACTTCGATTGGTTTTTATGCGAGTACTGGGATAAAACGGTGTCGCAGGGTATCCTTACGACAAGGTGAGCCTACAGTTTTCTTTCGTTTCATTTCGAAAACAGGAAAACGATCGAGTTTTATAATCGGTCGTCTCGTGACGGCTGAGACTTTACAGATAAAAATGGCGTGTGCCGCCTTAGCTTTCCGATTTCTTCCTACTTTTGAATCGCTGTACGGCATTTTGTTATCCACATTTCTGTCAATATTCATTTACGTTTTAAACGATACACGAGATCGTTTGTCACTTATCATTTTTTAATCTATTCCCTACAATGTCTTTCAACGAGTGCGGCATCGATTCTAGTCGACGGACGTAATCACTGTGCGATTAAGAAGGTTTTTTTGTTTGTTTCATATTGTTAATATTATTGTTCTTAACCCGTGGTGCGATTACACCAATTTGCATTTCTTCTATAGTTCTAGATTACCTTTTGAAATAAGCTCATGGATAAGCATTTGGCCCAACGTTCATTTATAGCGCCTTAATTTCCGCTGCATGGTGTCCCCTGAATGGTTTTGTTCACCTGTCAAGACGCCCTATCTGTTGGTGACCTAATTTTCTCCTCTGCTAAAAATCTGCCAAGCATTGTAGTAATGTAGTTTGCCGGGATGTCGGTACATTGTATAAAATTGAACGTTTTACTGGTGACCCAAAAAGACTTTTACATTGTTTCATAAATACGGAGCATCAGTCGTGAAAAAAATTTTTTTGAGAGTATATTATTTAAATAAATACTGTAGAGAAACTCGTGTAGTGTTGTTTTTTAGTTGCCAGAATTTTATTGTGCTTTCACGTTTCTTGGAAACGTTATGTGAAAGATAATCTAATCGCTGAAAGGTAGTAAGTACACACATTGCTATCGTTCATCTTGATACTTCTATCAAATGGTTATTTAATTATGTCTTGTTCTTTTATTAGCCTTGAAAGAACTTATGAATGCATGATTTTTCTAATTCAAAGAAAAATGAATGTACACCCGAAAATAATTTTATTATATAGAATGATAGTGAATAATTGTTTATATTTATTCGTTATGCATTAATAATAATGACCTAATCACTGGACGTGGTTCTTTAAATTGACGGCTATGTTATAAATTGCCAACTCCGTTCAGTGTAGATGATTTCGTCATGACAGTGAATTCGATGCTGAGTCATTATCAAAAACCTTCAGGCTAGCGGTAACCTGTAGTAAACTTTTGCAAAATATAATCAATATTAAAAAAAGAAATCTTTCGTTGATACTAAATAAGAGAAAAAGACTGTTATACGTAAAATATTAAGGTTATAATCTATTTTTAGTTTTACGTTTATTACATTCGCGATGGCAGAGTCGAAAGGAACATCGAACTACTCGGAACTTCCGGTAAGGAAAATTCAGGTCATAACGCGTAACATTATCGCGACCGGAAAATGTATATCAGGGCAATTATTTAATGAACCTTTCTTCGATCAAGCAATTTCCTTCGACTTTCTCGGCGTTGTGTTTACAGTTACGTCATCGTTACCGGGTTTGGGCGTGTGCGCGTCTTCGGCATAAATTAATAAATTAGTGTCGTGCCGATCGCTACTTCCGGATTGTGTTTTTGGCGACATCTGTCCTGTCGATTATACAATGTTTCTGCATTAAAATACAAAATGGATATCACTTTTGTGTCAAAAGTTACATGTCAGAGCACGCGATATCGCGTGGTTAAATGTTGAGGCACACAACGACCGACCCACTTCTCAAATAAGTATTTAGTTTTCATGGTGACTCAGAAACTTAATCCTATAATTGCTCCTAACAATACAGACAATGTTTGTCCCTAGGGTTTCTTAGAAGCGATAAGTCTTTTTTACTTTGCGATTAAAGCAAGGTATTGATGCAAAGAATTTATACAATATTCTGTCATTCTTTGACGCGTAAATAAGAAACACGATTCTTACGTTTGACTGAACACCATAAAATAGGAAACCATTGTGTCTGTCGATGCTTACTCAGCCATGTTTGTAATGCGTTCAGTGCTCTGGGGGATTTAGGTTATGCGGGGAAAAATAGCCGAAAAGGTTAAATCGTGATATTTATCTAACGGATTATACTCTATTCGTGGAGATTTATTTTTATAAGTTGAAGTTTCTATTGTTAAATTGTATTATGACAAATAAATAACCGTAAAACTTACCATTATAAGGTTAGAAATATAGGAACACACTTCAAAACGTTTATGGCGGTAACGGTAATCGATAACCTGATCGACAGTCAACGCTTTTAACGACTATCGATAGTCGTTAGAGAAATCGTAATATATGAAGTTGATGCTTCTTTACTGCATTCTTAAATTACATTACGAAAAATAAATATATAAAGCGGTAATCGTTAAATGCGATCGACAGTCGATGCTTTTAACGACTATCGATAGTCGTTAGAGAAATCGTGTGTAAATTAGTTACCAGACTGATGTCACCATTCGATTTATACAATGAATATGGTTATTCATGTTAAAGCCCCGGATGCAGGGAAAGTTGTGCATGCTTGAACAACAATGAAACATTGTTAATCTTGTTTTTGTAATACAATTCGCTATGATTTCAATCACTGTTTAATTCCTTAGGGATAGATTGCAATGTGATTTTCTAAAAATATCCATACGACATTTTTAACCTTTCTACCCTGATTAGCATATCCACACTTTTATTATGCAGCATAGGGAGACGTGTTACGACATAATGTTTAATAAGTGCGAGAACAGGCGGGGGACGTTGAACTGAACTCATCAATTTTTTTCTTTTTTCAACTCTTAAATATTGCAAGAACCTACTATGAAGACATATAAGAAAATTTGTAAAAATTATATGGAAAAATGTGTTTTAAATTTTGTACTCTGTTAATCTCAGAAAATCCTTTTTCTAAATCTAAAGAAACTCGTAATAATCGTAATTGGCACGAAATTCAAAATAATTAACTTATAATTATGTTTCTTTGTTTTATATAAGATATAGGTTCGTAGAATTCTTAATTGGTACAGAATCTATGATTTCTATGAAATTTCGAATATTATTTCAATGTCAAAATAAAAATGTCCATAAAAAATTAATCAGAAATATACTTTCACTATATTAAAAAGTGTCAGCAGTTTTATTTTCCTCTTTGATCATGAAAATACTATCCCCTGTAACTATTACGAAATTAATTTAATCATTCGCGTAATCGTTCGATACTATTTGAATCTCTGATTCTCCTTTTTCCGGAGAAACTGGTTTCCCGGGTTGCATCGATGAATTATAAACTCGTTTTGAATTTTATGGTTATCACGAGATCAGCTAATTGATCGACGTTCGATTCCTCAAGGGGGTATTCTAATTAAGACGAAGTTAAACTAAAAATCAAAGAACAAGTGTTTCCACCTTGTCAGAAAAATAAAAATAAAAACTATTGCAGCTGACATAATTCTACCAAGATGTAAAAAAAAGGGAGAGATCTAAGAATACGAAGTAGATATTTGAATATCTAATTTTAATCGTCAATGACAAAGCTTTCAGTCATTGTAAGATCATCGTATGTGATTCTTTTTTATTTATTTTCTTGTTTAGTGGCGTTACAGGGACGCTGAATCAGCAACGGCATATTTATAACGCGGGAAACCTTTCATTTTACGGGGACGAAATTAAACGCGATGAAACTGGTCGAATTTCACACCCTATTCCATTTAACCCTTTTAAAATAGGAAAGTTGAACAAGAGTACTTTACAACGCCGCGTAGAAAAATTACATGGTGCCATTTAAAAAAAGCTGTGGAAAGCCTATATTATTTAAACAAATTTTAAATTAACAAAATGATGACTTAAACTCCTCTTAATTTTATTTGTACTATCCTACAAATAAAGGGGGGTGAACCCAGAAATATCCTTAGCTTCTGCACTTACAGTACCATTTTCCTATCAATACCCAATCGATTTTATAATGTCATTTTTTAATTATGGAGAAATTTCTATTGGTCATTTTATTAGAATCACCCTGTATAGTAATTTATCATTCGATGTTCAATGAGTTTCTGCTTTAGCAAGTTGTAAACCATTACACTTCTATCCGTGATAATCCGATCGGATATGCAGATCCAACGATAGACCGGTGAAAGATTTGAATGGCAAACGATGCGTTAAGGGAACTGGTCGTTTCAAGTAAATGACACGGAGGTGACCAAGTTGGCCGACAGCAGATTAACGTAAATGCGGACGTGACGTAGTTTCGTGTACACCCGGCAAGCTAGTCGTTCTCTATGCACGAACCAGTCGCTCTTCCATAGCTTTAATCGACTATCCTTCTTTCTTTTTTCAATGTCCTACCTCTATTTTTTTATTTCGTCAAGAAACGACTTACTTGGTTAATGGGTTAAGATCTTTGATCAAAGTGTCTTGAAGCGTTTCATCACGTGTGCTGGTTTCAAGGTTTGTCCACGATGTTTTTCCGGTGGATGTCATTATTACTATTTACCAGCCTGAAATTCCTTGGCACACTGTGCTTTTCTATTTATTGAGGATGACTCGACGTTTGCGACGACGAAAGGTCAAAAACCTGGAACTTGCATGGTTTCGGGAAAGCTGATTCGAACCGCGACATGCTACGAGTTCAGTCGATAATGAATTTATTCAAGCGTAACGTTGAATTGAAAGAGAACAGTATTAAATTAAGTAGGTTATTGCAGTAAATAGTAATAAATAGAATAATGGTTACTCATTACTATTAATATTATAAAAAGTGTCCCATGGAACAGGGCCAAGTTATAGCTATAAAATGGTATAAAATCGTAAAATTCAAATTTTGCGCTATTATTGGTGCCATTTGCTGCGTATTATTATTCTCTATAAAAAATTATTAAGATAATTGGTCGAAAATTAATTAGTTCAGAAGATATCCTAGGGAGAGACTTGGGTCCTCAAAATTTGGAAAATTATTTTTTGAATTTTGAACTCCCCTTAGTGCCATTTGCTGCGTATTATTATCTTCTATAAAAAAACATTAACCCACCTAGTTCGAAAATTAATTAGTTTAGAAGATATCTTAGGGAGAGACTTGGGCCCTCTAAATTTGGAAAATTATTTTTTGAATTTTGAACTCCCATTGGTGCCATTTGCTGCGTATTTTAATTCTCTACAATAAAGTATTAGGGTGCTTAAGTGAAAAATTGATTAGTTCAAAAGATATCCCAGGGAGAGACCGCCAATCTCTCCCTGTCTCTCCCTACGATATCTTCTAAACTAATCAATTTTCGACCCAAGTACCTAATCATTTTTTGCAAAGAATAAAAATATGCAGCAAATGCCGTTGAAAGAAATAAAAAATTCAAAAAAAATTTTTTCAAATTAAAGGAACCTAAGTCTCTCCCTAAGATATTTTTCAAACTAATCAATTTTCGACTCAAGAACCTTCATACTTTCTTGTAGAGAATTAAAATACGCTTCGATTGACGTCGAGAGAAGTGCAAAGTTCCAATAAATTTTTTTTTGTAAGTTCACCGAATAATTGGTTGTGACTAGTAATGAATCGAAATTAGCAGTAAGTCTGGCTATTTTAACACGTCGTTAGTTCGTTTACTCAATATCCGAGTCGATGCATCGTCTAGTCTCGCTCTTAACCTCATTAACCAATGGACCCCTCTTCCGAGTCAAATGAAGTCGTATTGTCGATGGCATCCTTTTGGCAGGGACGCTGTAATCAGGTCACCCCCCGTGCACCTCGGGTTTTCTACATTCCACTTGTCTCAAAATTCGTTACCTCTTGATTATCTTGTTTGCTCAGCAGGAGACTGGAGTATATTGGCAAACAATAGCATTTGATTGATGATTATAATTGGAGAGAAGGTGATAAGACATTTTATTAAAAGAGCGTCAAAGAAAATCGTCGAGATTGATTAAATTTTCATTTTCAGCGTTCCGGTCGTCCTACATTCATTGTCTTTTGTTCATAGAATAAAAAGTCGACGAATATTGCAACCAGTCAACTTAACACGCTTCAAAATCATCCCAGAGCTTTCTCTTTTTCGACGAAGTCCTTTACATTCACTCGAGAATATTGTAAGAGTGCTCGTCACTGCCTCACCGGGATTGTCGTGCATAGGTACAAAGAAGATATACCGGGTGATTCGATAGAAAATTTAGCTAATTTCTAGCGATACCTTTCTAACTAAACATTAAGTATCATCGATTATCAAATGAAGGGTCTTTATCTTTGAACCTCTTACATTAAGTTCTGCACGAATATATGCTTAAAACCATCGCGTGTGATAAACCAATTAGAATCTCAAAATAGAAAAAAAGAAATATACATGATCTAAACTATACTCTCCCTTTGCTTTTCAATTATCAACTAGCTATGAATCATGTATAATAATACCGTATCAGAAGTGATAAATTATCACAAATTGTATTCATGTACTACTACACTAGAGATACTAAGTTATCATGAATTACATAATCATACAAAGACACCAGAAATCATCTTGTAAAAACTCATTCAAATACTATTAATCCTTTTTTATATATGACCCTAAATAAAGTCTAAAACAGAGGAATTGATAAAATATTCTTTGGAATTAAAATTTAAAAAAATTGTAAAGGTGGAATTAATTATTTCTTTCCTGCGAAATTGAAGGAGTTTGAGGGAACTATTTTTTTTTTAGAGAACCACCCCATGTATAATATGTATCACGAACATTGGCGCCACGGTGACTCTGGTGGAAAATCAATAGCTTGACGCTGTGTTCGTGGCGAGTTCATCTTACCTTCAGCGTTGCGGCGTCGGGTATGTAGCGTGTTCTTTTGTACGGGTCTGAGCAGGTACACACACAGCCGCTTCAAGTGCTGGCTTAATATGAAGAGAGAACCGATTAAACGGCAGATTAACCCTAAACTCGGTAGATCGTATGAAAGAACCGGTCGTTTATTAGTTACTTCATAAAGAGACTTCTTTCTCTATCATTAATTGCTTTCCTCATTAGGCGGACTTCTTCTTTTTCAATAATTACGACGACGGAAGGTCGAGTTGTTTTTTTTTTCCAAGTCAAGGTGAAGGTGAAGTGATCATCGCTAGTTTTAATTTCACTGAAAACTTTCTACGCTAGGTGTCACGTTAATTAGGGGTGCTGGGAAAATTTATCAGTCGACGGATTTTCATGGGTTTACCTCGAGGTGAGACTGGAGTTGAATTAACCTTCCTCGATGATCGTCGTGTCATTCACTTTTGTGATTCATTTCACTCCGCCTACTCGTTTCAAAGCCGCTAATCTTTATACTCTCTTCCCCTGTCGGTTTCCACTCCCCACCCCTTTCTGGCAATGCTCATTAAAGTATGCCGGTGGCCGGGTAATTGCTCTTAATTTACCGTAAGTGTTTGTCAGACACGTTAGAATGTCATTCATTCTTGGCTTGCTTTCTTTAGCTCGCTGGACGTTGGCCTTCGATCACTGTAAATTGGGTCAAAAGAGGATCTTAACCCATGGAAAGTATAATGGAGAGCATAGAACCCCATAGAAATATATAGAAATTTAAACAGGGGTACATGTACCTTTGTAGAAACGAATGATAAATGAATCCTTTTTTTTCCATCTTTCCACTATGGAAGTTGAAACGCGTTCATTGAGTATTTCTGAAGAAACGTGATATGTTTAAGTTGCATTGTAACCAGTTCGCAGCATTACGTAAGTGCTATTCAAATAGCAGAATTTGGATGATTCATTCCTTCCATATTCGACCTATTCTTTTTAAATCCTCCCACTGATTTCTAAAATATGAACATGAAGAAGTGTTCAGCACCCCTGGCTACCTAAGGGTACTGAAAAATTGGGTAGAAAAATACTGAGGTGTTAAATTTTAAATTGCCAAGAGGGAATCATGTGAAATTCGAAAGTACACGTTGCAACATCCATGACCCCGTTGAGGTTCTCTCCTGAAAGATTAAATAACCGTTTTTGGCAAAGGTAGTTTTTCGCATCGAATCGCACGGACGTGTGCCGGACTAGTTTGCAGCAGGATGATTTTTCCTCGTCCCAGAGTATCGATGTCTCGTCCTAAGGTGTTCTCTCATCGTTGAAACTCCGTTTCTACGCTCGCAGCGAAATGTCACCGTCAAAGAACGACGCCCGTATCCACTTACACTGTGGTTTTCCTTGAGTTTTTGCACGGCTACCCGCGCGAGTACACGGAGGACGTGATATATTAGCCGCTTGCACTTGGTCGTACCAGCGACGAGGTCGTCTTAACGCTTCGTGGCGAACGGCCACCTAGAAACAATTGAAATTGTTAATAATATGGTTAACACGGCGAATCGGATAGGAGCATTGTAAATTGAACCCTTTAGGGTAAAATCATTTATTTGGGATTTTTGGAGAACCTAGGGAGAACTTAAGAGGGCCTAGGGAAAATCTAAGTAGAGCCTAAAGGGGCCTTAAGTAGATCCTAGGGAGAACCAAAGGTGGGCCTAGGGAAACCTAAGTAAATCCTAAGGAGAATCTAACTCCTTTACATAATCTTCTTCCAAAGATCGTATTCTGAATAATTATTACAACTTCTTAGCTAAAATTAGCTGCTCTAAATTAAAAAATCTTGCATTCAATAAATACTGTCCAAGGTCCGGGACAAAAGTAGCGTCTAAAGTCCATTGAAAATGAAATAACCATGCATATTTCTTACATAGTTTTGCACGATCTACTCGATGATAAGAATTGCAAAGCAATCTTATCAGTTCTTTTTTATGTGTTCTCTGTATCTCTTTAGATAGCAACCAGTGATAAGAAAGGGCGTTCTACAATTAAAACTACCGAGATTAATATCAAAAGAAAGTGCACTTGTTTGATTCAACAAACATAAAATTTGGAATTATTTTTGATATAATTAACGTCGTATGATTTTGTCATAGGAAATAATAGTGTCACTGATCGATTGATAGATAACGTTTTAACTCAGCTGTAATCAACGCCACGTTTTCGCGTGATCGTAACCGATAGGCGAGGTGTGAATTGAAATTCAATTACTAAATGAAAGCTTAATTAAGAGATTCCTAGATCTGAATCTGGTGAAACGTATAACGTGCCCCAGAAATAAATGAGCCTATAAAGCTAGATCATGAATGAGATTTAATAAATGCAAATTAAACAGTGAAAGCTATTATTAGAAGATCTAAATCAAATATAAAGATAGATAAATAGAAATTCTTGGTAGATTCATAAAGCTTGGAAGCCTTTTACGGTGCAACGGCGAACGTAAGAATGAATAAAACATAATCATGCAATAATTTCATCAAGTCAGTCGTACAAACAGACATTTACAGTCCATCCGTAATTAAAATTGCATAATCAAGATTTCTTAATTTCAATTTCTTCGATACGTTCTCGAAGTTCTATAATTTCAAATAACGTTTAATTAAAATTAATATAATTTCACGGGTTTACATTTTACAGTGAATGCGCGTGAAGAAAGTATCGGTCAAGTGCACAACTTGTATTTTCAGGACATCCGTCGAATAACACGTTACATTACATTCACAAAAGCATGTGGGAGTAGCTCGATTTGCGATTACATCACGCGAATGATGTCACACGTGCGAAATATGCACCAATGGCGTTAGGTACTGTGAGCGAACGAACGAGCAACGATCGTTAAAGCCTTGTTCTCGATATCTGTTGATCGTTCCTTCCCGATATCGTGATCCGCGATCGCGTAATCGTCGATTCTCGCCGCTCTTGGAACTCTTGGTTGCAGGTGAACGGTACAACATACCGGGTGATCTAAACGGAAAGCATCGAAATCGATTAGATTTCATTTTTCCTTATCCTTAATACAGATAATTGCCTCCTTGCTACAAAGGGCAAGGAAAATAATAGCGAAAGAGTTAATAAAAAAAAAAAATTTTTCATTTTCTGTTTCAGGAGCGCCCTTTCGAAGGGTAAGACAGAAGTGAGTTGTTGGTTCGTTTGACAAAATGACGACCGACATCTCGGTGGTGCGCGCGGGTTGGGACCCCACGTTACAACAAGAGATTGTCGATGAGTACGAATACGACGGGGGAAACTCGAGTTCGAGGCTTTTCGAACGTTCACGGATCAAAGCCCTAGCCGGTAAATATGAATTTCATTAAACAAAACTAAGAAAATATGATTCCGAAGTCTCCAGAAGAGTTTTCATCTCTTGAGAAATTAAAATTGATCGCTGTACGACTTTTAAAGAAATAGCGAAGCGAGTTTCTGCTGAGGAAAGCAACTATTGCCACATCCTTTGATATGGATATGCTTTTGATAAGTGTACACTTGAAACTCTATGTTCTTTGAAGATTCTTAGTAGTATTTGTCGAGTGGTTCTGAAATAACGTAACGTTTATGTCATAAAAATATAAAAAAAAATTTGTAATTAGTGTAATTAATCAAATACTCCATTGGCTCCATTAATCCAATGGATTACGATAAAGTAGTTTTCAATTTGCGAGGTAAAATTATCAGACCCGATTCAGAGATAATATAAAATAATATTGTTCATTCGTCTGTTCGAACCAGGTGAACGTGAATTAGTACAAAAGAAGACCTTCCAAAAATGGGTGAACTCCCACTTGGTTCGGTGTTCCTGCCGAATCGGCGACCTGTACGTCGACCTACGAGACGGCAAGATGTTGATCAAACTCCTGGAGATCCTCTCCGGGGAACGCTTGCCACGACCTACGAAAGGAAAAATGCGAATCCACTGTTTGGAGAACGTCGACAAGGCGTTGCAGTTCTTGCGAGAGCAAAGAGTGCACCTGGAGAACATGGGATCCCACGACATAGTGGACGGGAATCCGCGTTTGAGCTTGGGTCTCATTTGGACCATCATTCTGCGATTCCAGATTCAGGACATCACGATCGAGGAGACCGACAATCAAGAAACGAAATCAGCGAAAGACGCGTTGCTCCTCTGGTGCCAGATGAAAACTGCTGGTTATCACAATGTAAACGTGCGAAATTTCACCACCTCGTGGCGCGATGGATTAGCCTTCAACGCCATCATTCACAAACACCGTCCAGACTTGATTCAATTCGACAAACTATCGAAATCGAACGCCATTTACAATCTGAACAACGCGTTCAACGTGGCCGAGGACAAGCTTGGTCTCACTAAACTGTTGGACGCTGAAGATATATTCGTTGATCATCCTGACGAGAAATCAATCATCACTTACGTGGTCACGTACTATCATTACTTCTCGAAGATGAAGCAAGAGACTGTGCAAGGTAAAAGGATCGGCAAAGTGGTCGGAATAGCGATGGAGAACGACCGTATGATCCACGAGTACGAAAGTCTGACCAGTGATCTGTTGCGTTGGATCGAGGGCACGATAGAGGCTCTAGGAGACCGTAGATTCGCCAACTCTTTGGTCGGAGTTCAGTCTCAACTTTCCCAGTTCTCCAATTACCGTACCGTAGAGAAACCGCCGAAGTTCGTGGAGAAGGGTAATCTGGAGGTACTGTTGTTCACGTTGCAGTCGAAGATGCGAGCGAACAATCAAAAACCATACACGCCGAAGGAGGGTAAGATGATTTCGGATATCAACAAAGCGTGGGAGAGGCTAGAGAAAGCGGAACACGAGCGAGAATTGGCTCTCCGCGAAGAGCTGATTCGTCAGGAAAAATTAGAGCAATTAGCAGCGAGATTTAACCGAAAGGCCAGTATGAGAGAGACCTGGTTGTCTGAGAATCAACGATTGGTTTCTCAGGATAACTTCGGCTTTGATCTAGCCGCCGTCGAGGCTGCTGCCAAAAAACACGAAGCCATCGAGACCGACATCTTCGCCTACGAGGAACGGGTCCAGGCTGTTATGGCTGTTTCGCAAGAACTAGAGACCGAGAACTACCATGACATCGAACGCATTAATGCCCGCAAAGACAACGTTCTCAGACTTTGGAATTACTTACTGGAGCTGCTTCGTGCTAGAAGAATGAGACTGGAGTTGTCTCTGCAGTTGCAACAGAACTTCCAGGAGATGCTGTACATCCTGGACAGTATGGAAGAGATCAAGATGCGTTTGCTGACCGACGACTACGGAAAGCACTTGATGGGTGTCGAAGACCTTCTGCAGAAACATTCTCTGGTAGAAGCAGACATCAATGTCCTCGGCGAGAGGGTGAAAGCTGTTGTGCAACAAAGTCAGAAGTTCTTGGAGCACGGAGAAGGCTATCGTCCTTGCGACCCAACGATCATCGTTGAGCGCGTGCAGCAATTGGAAGACGCGTACGCGGAATTAGTACGTTTGGCTGTTGAACGTAGAGCCAGACTCGAAGAATCTCGCAAACTGTGGCAATTCTATTGGGACATGGCTGACGAGGAGAACTGGATCAAGGAGAAGGAACAAATTGTATCCACTGGAGATATTGGTCATGATCTTACCACTATCAACTTACTGTTGTCGAAGCACAAGGCTCTGGAGAACGAGATCCAGTCTCACGAACCACAGCTGATGTCCGTGGTCGCTGTTGGGGATGAACTGGTTCGTCAGCAACACTTTGGTTCTGATCGAATCCAGGAGAGGCTTCAAGAAATTCTAGGAATGTGGAACCATCTTCTGGATCTGGCTGCTTTCAGAAGGAAACGTTTGGAAGAAGCTGTCGACTACCATCAATTGTTCGCAGATGCCGATGACATAGACATTTGGATGCTGGATACCTTGAAACTCGTCTCTTCGGAAGACGTCGGCAGAGACGAGGCAAACGTCCAGTCCCTGTTGAAGAAACACAAAGATGTTACAGACGAGTTAAAGAACTACGCTGCCACGATCGATCAGCTTCATCAGCAGGCAGCAGGTCTCGGTGAACAGGACGCGAAATCATCGGAAGTCCTGGAAAGACTGGCTTCCATAGACTCGAGGTACAAGGAGCTGATGGAACTAGCCAAGCTGCGTAAGCAGAGACTGCTAGACGCCTTGTCGTTGTACAAGTTGTTCAGCGAATCCGACGGAGTGGAACAATGGATCGGTGAAAAGAACAGGATGCTAGAGACGATGGTACCGGCCAAGGACATCGAAGACGTGGAGATCATGAAGCACCGATACAATGGCTTCGAAAAAGAAATGTACGCGAATGCTTCTCGAGTTGCCGTCGTGAATCAACTGGCCAGACAGCTGTTGCACGTCGAACATCCTAACTCTGAACAGATAGTCGCTCGTCAGAACGAGTTGAACCAGAAATGGGCAGAACTACGCGAGAAGGCGGAGAACAAACGCGACGAGCTGAACTCCGCCCACGGTGTGCAGACCTTCCACATCGAGTGTCGCGAGACGGTGTCCTGGATCGAGGACAAGAAGCGTATCCTTCAGCAGACCGACAGCCTGGAGATGGATCTGACCGGAGTAATGACACTCCAGCGTCGACTGAGTGGCATGGAACGCGACCTGGCAGCCATACAGGCCAAGTTGGACGCTCTGGAAATGGAGGCTCAGAATATCCAACAACAGAACTTGGAAGATCCTGAGGTGATTCGAGAAAGGATCACTCAGATTCACACAATCTGGGAACAGCTGACTCAGATGCTGAAGGAACGCGACGCGAAACTGGAAGAAGCCGGTGATCTGCACAGATTCCTCCGAGACCTTGATCACTTCCAGGCGTGGTTAACCAAGACCCAAACCGACGTCGCCAGCGAGGACACGCCGACCACGTTGGCCGATGCCGAGAAACTGCTCACGCAGCACCAGAACATCAAGGAAGAGATCGACAACTACACCGACGACTACCAGAAGATGATGGAGTACGGAGAAAGGTTAACAAGCGAGGCTGGAGACGGGGACACGCAGTACATGTTCTTGAGGGAGAGATTGAACGCCCTGAAGATGGGCTGGGAGGAATTGCACCAGATGTGGGTGAACAGGAAGCTGTTGTTGTCGAATTCCTTGAACTTGCAGGTATTCGACCGTGATGCTCGCCAGGCAGAGGTGCTTTTGTCCCAGCAAGAGCACATTCTCGCTAAAGATGAAACACCGGCAAACTTCGAGCAGGCCGAGCACATGATCAAGCGTCACGAGGCCTTCATGACTACCATGGATGCGAACGACGAGAAGATCAACAACGTGGTGCAGTTCGCTGGACGACTTGTCGACGAGGGACACTTCGCGGCTGACAAAGTCAAGAAGAAGGCGGAGAGCATCAACGAACGACGTCGAGTGAACCGCGAGAAGGCTAACCAATGCATGGAGAAGCTGAAGGATCAGTTGCAGCTGCAAATGTTCCTGCAGGACTGCGAGGAGTTGGGCGAATGGGTGCAAGAGAAGCACATCACTGCCCAGGACGAAACTTATAGAAGTGCAAAGACTGTCCACAGCAAATGGACCAGGCATCAGGCCTTCGAGGCAGAGATAGCGAGCAACAAGGATCGTCTGCAGCAGTTACAACAAGCTGCAGAGGAACTGATCCAACAGAAACCAGACCTGGCCGACATCATCAAACCGAAAGTGGCCGAATTGGCTGATCAGTTCGAGGAACTCGAGACCACCACCCACGACAAGGGTGAACGTCTGTTCGATGCCAATCGCGAGGTACTTATCCACCAGACCTGCGACGACATTGACTCCTGGATGAACGAGCTGGAGAAGCAAATCGAGAGCACGGATACCGGATCCGACTTGGCTTCCGTTAACATCCTGATGCAGAAGCAACAGATGATCGAAACGCAGATGGCGGTTAAGGCTAGACAAGTCACTGAACTGGATAAACAAGCGGAGCACTTGCAGCGCACAGTGCCAGATGACAAGATGGAGGAGATCAAGTGCAAGAAGGAGAAGGTCGCCCAGAGATTCGCCCAATTGAAGGCTCCTCTGATCGACCGACAGCGTCAACTGGAGAAGAAGAAAGAGGCCTTCCAATTCAGACGCGACGTGGAGGACGAGAAGCTCTGGATCGCCGAGAAGATGCCCCAAGCCACCAGCACCGAATACGGTAACTCCCTATTTAACGTGCACATGCTGAAGAAGAAGAACCAGTCTCTCCGCACCGAAATCGAGAACCACGAGCCCAGGATTAATCTGGTGTGCAACAACGGACAGAAGTTGATCGACGAAGGACACGAGGACAGTCCTGAATTCCAGAAACTGATACCCGAGTTGACGGAGAAATGGAAGGAGCTGAAGGATGCGGTAGACGACAGGAACAAGCATCTGCTTCAGAACGAGAAGGCACAGCAGTACTTCTTCGACGCGACCGAGGCGGAATCCTGGATGAGCGAGCAAGAGTTGTACATGATGGTGGAGGATCGTGGCAAGGATGAGATCTCTGCGCAGAATCTGATGAAGAAACACGAGTCCTTGGAGCACGCTGTAGAGGACTACGCCGAGACGATCCGCCAGCTAGGAGAAACGGCTAGACAGCTGATCAACGATCAACATCCTCTCGCTGATCAGATTGCTGTAAAACAATCTCAAGTGGACAAATTGTACGCCGGATTGAAGGACCTGGCTGGTGAACGTCGAGCCAAACTGGACGAGGCTCTTCAGCTGTTCATGTTGAACAGAGAGGTGGACGACTTGGAGCAGTGGATCGCGGAGAGAGAATTGGTCGCTGGAAGTCATGAACTGGGCCAGGACTACGACCACGTGACGTTGCTATGGGAGAGGTTCAAGGAGTTCGCTAGGGACACCGAGGCGATAGGTTCAGAAAGGGTAGCAGCAGTGAACGGTATCGCGGATTCTTTAATAGCAACCGGTCACTCGGATGCTGCCACCATTGCCGAATGGAAGGACGGATTGAACGAGGTGTGGCAGGACCTGCTGGAGCTGATCGACACTCGCACGCAGATGCTGCAAGCCAGCCGGGAGCTGCACAAATTCTTCCACGACTGCAAGGACGTTCTTGGAAGAATCCTGGAAAAACAAAATGCCATGTCAGACGAGCTCGGTCGCGATGCTGGCTCGGTTTCCGCTCTCCAACGAAAACACGGCAACTTCATGCAAGATCTGTCCACCTTGCAGAGTCAGGTGTCGCAGATTCAAGAGGAGTCGGCTAAATTGCAGGCTTGCTATGCCGGTGACAAGGCTAGAGAGATAACGAACCGCGAAGGAGAGGTTGTTGCCGCTTGGAACAACTTGCAGTCCCTCTGCGAAGGAAGAAGAACGAAACTGGAGGACACCGGGGATCTCTACCGATTCTTCAACATGGTCAGAACCCTGATGATCTGGATGGACGATGTAGTGCGCCAGATGAACACTTCTGAAAAGCCTCGCGACGTTGCTGGAGTTGAGTTGTTGATGAACAATCATCAGAGCCTGAAGGCTGAGATCGACGCCAGGGAGGACAACCTGATGGCTTGTATCAATCTCGGGAAGGATTTGTTAGCTAGAAATCATTATGCCAACTCTCAGATCAAGGAGAAACTGGCGGCGCTCACGGATCATAGAAATGCGTTGCTGCATAGATGGGAGGAGCGTTGGGAGAACTTGCAGCTCAGTAAGGATAAGTCAATCATTTTGTATTTTAATAATTTTGACGAATGTTACTAATGTTTCTACATATGTTTATTTCAGTTTTGGAGGTGTATCAGTTTGCTAGAGACGCTGCGGTCGCTGAGGCATGGTTGATCGCACAGGAACCATATCTGATGAGCCAAGAACTTGGCGTGAGTACTTCTGAATTATATCTCAGGAAGCAAAGAAATATGTAACATTAATCCTGTTAATCTGATTGTTACAGCACACGATTGACGAAGTTGAAAACCTAATCAAGAAGCACGAGGCGTTCGAAAAGTCGGCAGCTGCGCAAGAGGAAAGGTTTAGTGCCTTGCATCGACTCACTACGGTCAGTGGTTCATTCGAACCTGTTTGGAAGAAGTGAATAGCAATAATGTTAAATGGAAATGTGTTACAGTTTGAGTTGAAAGAAATGAAGAGGAGGGAACAAGAGCGAGAGGAAGAGGAGAGACGTAAGAAGGAGGAGGCCGCAGCAGCTGAGGCAGCTCGATTAGCTAAAGCAACGCCAGTAACTAGTCCAGATGAACCACCCAGTGAAAGGTACTGTTAACAAACAATTGACAGAACAAGAATTACTTAACCAGTAATGAAATTACTGTGCACTGGTGTTAGAATAAAATAGTAATGAATAGTAATGATAGAATAAAAATAATAAAACATAAAATTTTATGTAATGTGTGTAAAGTGAAATTAAAAATATAATTTTGTTTCATAGAGCTGAAGCTGAAGGAGTACCTAGCGGAGAACGCCCCACCGGCGAAGACGAGTCACATGGTAAGATAACGACAAGTATATTGCATAATAATTTGAGAAATTTTAATAAGAGTGATCGTATACGTTGTATTCTCTGTTCCAAACGATGAAATATCTAAGGGAACAGCTTTTCATTGATATAATTCTTTTCTGAAGACAATTTGATTTTCTCATGAAAATGATTTTTTTTTTATCTACTAATACAATATCGGTTTCGCTTTTCACGTGTCTTGTACACACATTTAACTCATAGACATCTGGTTTTACAAACTGGTTTGTTTGGATAAGCATGATATTGCTAACAGCACGTTTATTTTTGCCTCTTCCCCAACCTTATGTGAAACTTGACTCCGTCCTTACGAAAATCCATGTATCCGGATCCGGAAATTCTCCTGAATGCACCCTAAAATGCGGCACGGAATGCACAAAACCACAGTGGCACATCGCAAGGCTTCTACACGTACACCACAGCCTCAAGACAAGCCCAAGGAAGGTGAGTGTCCCCATAAAAGAAGTATCGCCCTTTCTGCGCTCGAAATTTATATTTTAACTACTGAATAATTTTTTCAAAAATATTTCTACATTTCTCTTTTTATTTCATTTGAAATTTATCCATTTTTAAAATTCTTCTTCTTCCCCGATAATATTTTATTTTTCACAATGAGTGCAAAGGGTTAAATAAATCTTCTTTGGTATACAAAGAAATAATGTATCATGTACTAATCTTATTATTAATGTCACTATTCTATTAAATACCAGTGTCTTTTATCGTGTGAAATAATTTGTTCCCGTGTAATAATGTATTTATTGACTGTTCAGGCTGTTGCTCTCTATTTTTGTACTATAAACGAGACTCTGGTATTTGATGGTTGAATTGAATTTTATATATAGATCCTGCTATCGATCCTTTAAGCTGGTGATGGAGCATAAGAATTAAATCATCTGTTCACGGCAGCGTGTTCTACGGCATATCGTTTCCTTTCTTCTCGCCTTTGAAATTGACCCGTATTGTGAAAAATTATCTATTAACTATTATACTTCTGTTTAATTGAAAATTTATGCAATGCGGGTTGAAGGATTATAAATTTCACAACAATCTTTCTCTTTCAGCATATTTGTAGGGCAACTATGCCTATCGCTACAATTGCAGCTGTAATTGTTTACGCGCTTTCATTAACTATTTTTAACAGTTGATGGAGTCGCTGAAATATACGCAAATATTAATTAAAATTATTGGAACTTTGCATGCATTCGATGTTTACTGTTCAAAACTTGTCGAAGATACAGATACGTGTAAAGTTAACTTAATTTTTGATCAATCATTTTCACATCCAACGAGTGAAAAATTGATTTTATCACGAAAGGTAAGCACACACGGTGACGATAAAGAGTATTGAACTTGAAAGTACAAAGTAGACTACAAATTATGCTTGCTTTGTACATCTGCAAACCCTTTTGCAAATGCTTTTAGAGCAACTATCTTCTTACCATTAGCTACTTACAAGTTTCATTTCATTTCCTCCTCGGCCTATCAAGCTTTATAAATTTATTAAGTGTTAATAATATATGAAATGTATAATTTATGTTCATAATTTTTTAATATTAATGTATTATTTTTGAACACAAGCAATTGAAAATTGATTGATCCATTGTTTGTTTCAACAAAAGATCAATCATTCTCTATCAAGAATGTCAATGAAACGATTATGCAGTCATTTGTATTTGTACCATAAGTGTAACTTTTTCATACTTTTATGTAATGAAATTTTAATCAAACATTTCATATGTTATAACTGGATAACATTTTTCTGTGCTTTTTACTAATCAATCTAATAATATAAATGTAGTGTTGTATTAGAATTATTTACGTAATATTGTTAGTATTTAATTCCAAAGTATAGCATGTTTTAAATTGGTGTGATGGTGTAGTGCATGTTCGGAAACCTGCACGACTATCCGTACGAGGAGAAGGACCATCACCTGCTACCCCCTTGTCCACGAAACCTCCTCTGGGTCCATCTAGCCCAACAAGTAAGTTCAATCAAAGGATCGTTATTCATTTTATTTAATAAAACTTTTCAAATAACTCATCTATTTATAAAAATATATTTTCATAAAAAAGATAAATGATCACGTAGCAGTAAAGTAATTCGGATCCTTCTCTGCACAAAGCAATGGCTCTCTTGGTCCAGCAGGACAGGTACCACCAAATTTGTCCACAAATTGACAAGCCTGTAATATTCTCAGCGTTTCGTCCACAGAACGCGACAGAGTTATTTCGCTAAGCGAAATGTACCTAATTATTTGTTTCTTATCAATGATAAATAATCCTTTCAGAGCTATTCCCTCTTTCTCGTCGAGCACCCCATATTCTCTGGATATTTTATGATTTTTATCCGATAATACGGCCATCTTCATCTCACCCAAACCACCCTGTTTCCGGGGCGTAATGATCCACGACAAATGGGAATATTGGGAATCCGTGGAAATCGCCACTAAGTCACAGCCTTGCGCGATAAAACAGAAATGAGTCGTTTAAATTGATTGATTAGCGAAACAACGTACCTGCCTCTAAGAATTCGTCGACGCGATCGCTGAATTGAATCATTTCCGTGGGGCAGAAAAATGTAAAGTCGTAAGGGTAGAATAACATTATCAAATATTTCCCTAAGAAATCTCTCGAGGATATATTTTGAATTTTAAAATTAATTATCGCGGCACCTGACCAGGCTGGTGCTGTGTTCGATAACGCTGGTACCACGTGCACTTCCGGTTTCTCTTGCGGTTCTTGAGACTTCTGCGGCTGCTCGCCGCAGCACAAGTTCTCATGTTCCAACATTTTTCTTCCAAAAAGGTGATCAAAAGTCGACATAATAATTCCTTCGTTAGAAAAATAAATAATTTCTAAATAGCTTGAACATTGTTAAATATGATTTTTTCTGCTCAAGACAAAAGATGAATTTTTATTTTGTTTCATAATTCAAATCGGTTTGAAGGAATCGAAACCTTTTCGATTATAATTTCATTTAAAATATATAATATTTTTAATATAAAAAAAAAAAAAAAAACTTACTAAACTTTGTGTCCTCCTTTATGAAGATGGTTTAGCGTAGCTCGCATGAGCATGTTGCATGAACGCTGATTACAAAGTTAACCCATGTACCCCGAAATTGATCGATCAGTCCCAAAATAAATTAGGCTGTCGATGTGACCTGTAAGTAGCTAATAATGTCCCGTTGTGTTGCGTGTGTCGTGTTGAAAGCTCCAAAAGGTGGAAGCGGTTCCGAGTCTGGTACTTTAAGACGTAAGGAACGTAGTCGCAGCAAGTCACCGTTCCGAAGTTTCCGTTGGAGAAAATCCGCCAAGTCGCCGAGTTTAGATCGCAGTGGCGTGAGTGATGATGAACGCAGCATTTCCGGTAAGTGAATCATTCTCACATCGACCATCGGACCGACGTTCGCCGTCTAATTAATCAAACTTTCCAATCACCTGTGTATGCGCAACAGGTACTCCAGAATAGAGAAAGTCTCTCTCCTGATACCACCGGAAGATAATCATTCCCCCTCCCCCTTTTTTTTCATTTTTTCTTTATTTCCAGCCGTACCAAATGAATGTGTTCTATTAACAAAAACATTTGCATCCGACTAATCACGATTCGAGTATGCAAATGGTGTTGCGTCGTGAATGCGTGTACGTTTGGGTGCTTGATTTGCATATGGAGCATCGTCTAACGCATCCGATTAACTGTTTAGGTCTTCCTGTTCCGAATGGATTCTTTACAGTGAACGTACGACGTATTCGGAGAGAGTTCGATGACCGATTGTAACGTAGATTAACTTCTACTTCGCTCGATTAACATAGAATTATGGATTGAGTTAGCGTATTTTATCGAGGTCGTTAAAGTTGCTTCGAGTTCTCCTTCGTTTTCCAGAACAACGAAGTCCTAGCGACGACGAGTTCGAGGGTGTGCTGCAACGAAAACACGAATGGGAGAGTACAACGAAGAAGGCGTCGAATCGTTCCTGGCACAAGGTGTACATGGTCGTTCGTGGACAAAGTTTGTATGTATATACCGATCAGAAGTCTTACAAGGCTGCTCCGGATCAACCTTACAAAGGGGAAGCTCCTCTGGATCTCAAAGGCGCGACTATTACTGTAGCCAGTGATTACACCAAGAAGAAACATGTCTTCCGTGTAAAGTAAGTAAGATTTCAAAGCTTTTATATGTTTTCGTTAATGTATGATGGTTTTAGGTCGCAAAGCGGATCCGACTTCCTATTCCAAGCTAAAGACGACGCTGAAATGAACGAATGGGTTTCCGTGTTGAATCAAGCTGCACAAGGTACATCCGGTGCGAGCACGTCCAGGGCGCACACTCTGCCCGCGCCTACACAAGCCGAGACCAAGCGGCGTAGTTTCTTCACTCTCAAGAAAAAGTGAGTCTCGATCGAAGTATCCGAAAGGTTTTAAAGTGATCCTTAAGATAAAAGCCCGACATATCATGGAAATTATAACGAATGAGATTCATTGGATTCGAAAGGAGATGGAGCATCATCGACCATCAATGTTTTTTTCTCTTCAATTTCTCTCCCTCTTCGTCTGATGAATTTTTATTTAAAACTTCGTGTCGTCATTGTTCCTGTTAATCTCTAAAATTATTTCACTTATTTACAAGATTGTTATGCGAAGAAATTGTTAACGCCTTATGAGCATTAGTGATTTGCTCGTTTGAAAGGTATATATTTACAGGGAAACGCGCCTATCGTCTAAGTTCTAACACTTTCTCCTTTCTTGCATTAATTCTTCCGGTGATCTAATCTTTGATAGCCTATCCACGTATGTATCTCTGAAAGCTAAGTAAACGAAGTTCATTTTCTTTCGATGGTGTGTAGGTATTTATGATACTAGACCACTACTACTTCGCTTCTTTTTTTCGAATGTCATTGATCATCGTTAGACGAGTGGCGGGCGATCACCTCGGAGCATGCGCGCGTTAGATAAATGATCATGTTTAAATTATAATTCCTTAAATATTCGAGGTTTTCCCAGTCATTCGGTGTCACGTACATTTACCGCTGGCAGACATCCATTTCATTCGATCACATTGCATTTATCATTATTTTAGAAAAGCCAAAAAGTAGAAAGTGAAACCAATGAACTGTAAGAAAACAGTACACAATTGGAACAACATTTACAGAGATTGCGGTGAGTCTCGCACACAACAATCATTAGAACGTTTACCGTCGTACTGCTGCACGATTAATTGATCATCGTATCCAGTTGTTTCTTTCTATCCTTTTATTTCTCCTTTTTTTTTGTACCTTTTCTTTTTGATTAGCATCTCGACAAAATACAAGAGGAATGTTCTTCCAATTGTGAATGCGGAATGATATATTATCGAGTTTCTCCAAACACGAGAACTTGTATGTGCAGTGCTTACTGTGTTTCATATGCGCGCTAATAATCTAGAGGTTCCTTTAATTTCTGTGAAACCATGGAGTCGCTAATTACAGTCGTTATCCGTGTAGGTATCATTCTTTCAAAGTAATCGATTAAAAACTAAATACAGTAATCGTTGATTGTGATAATTCATAGAGTTGAAAGCTTTCGGTTGAAGTAAAGTAAAGAAATTCATTGCTATCAATTTTTTACTTTACTCTCAACGCGAATTCTTTTGTTCTAAAAGAACGCTATCCTAAAGGAAAAGTAACTAATGAAATCTATTATATAATTGAATGTTAAAGTTACGGTGTTCCAGTATCCTGAAGTAAAGTGTAAAACTTTTAGAACGTACAATGTTAGTTACATCGCTAAGATGTGTCACTCGAAGAAGTGTGTATGAATTGAAACATTATAAGACTGAGAGAGACTGAACAGGCAAAGTCCAAAAAGTATCATTGATCGCAGAGATGATTTTTACTTTCTTACAAGTCTCGGTATCAGCAAAAATGGCAAGGAAAATGACTGGTGATTGTACCTTCTAAAGAACAACTGTACTTTAGCGACAAAACATTTCCAGACATTAAATTCAAACTGAACACAGTTGATTCAACCTCGATTACGAGAAGATCAATGTATTATATGAAACACAATCGTTTTAATCGTTTCACCAATCAAGCTCTCAATTCACAAGCGCTTTTTATCCGCATTTTTCATTGCTTTTTTTCATGAGACACGTTTCTTTCGTTCGCTCTAGTATGATGTATTTTTATATATATATGCGTAGACACATACAATTATTGTATATCATTGCTGGATTATATTGTGGCTATCCTTTTATCATTGCTTATCCATTATCATCATATATCATTTGTTCACGCTTCTTTGCTGGTCAGATAAAACTTTCAGAGATCCTCGTTTTAGTAAGAAGTAAAATTTCTGTTACCTTCTACTGTTGGAGGTAATCAGTTTTGTACAAACACGATTACCCAATCGTGTCCAGCTCTTATAAAACAGAGCTGACCCGTGCATATTTACTTTAATTGTCCAGATTTATGTGTAGCATCCGTATTTGCCCGTCAGACCTTGAGCGATAGTATATAGCATTCATTTAGCAGTATCAAAAGATATTTTGAGACGTAGTAATGTTATCTTCACATGTACAGGCTGGTTCATTTCAATATGTCCATTTAAATGTCTCTAAAATTATTTGTCAGATTTTTAAATATAGTATAAAATAGTTTTAGAGACAAATTGGTCAATATAATAATGAACTGTACTGTAAATATTTCCTTGTGGAAATCCTACACTATATTTAACTGAAATGAGATAAATTTGAAAGAGGCTAGAGCTCCTTATTTATTTTACTTTGTATACTCTTTGAATAATCTATAAGTTATCCGATAATTGAACACTTTAAGGTAGTTTTAATAATTTCCTTGTTAGTTTGTATCTTTCTAAATTTCTAAATATTATTAGAAGCAGAAGAGCTATTTATTTGATTATATAAGTAATATTGTTTTTAAATAGTTCTACTCTATGCCTCAGTCTGAACAGACTCATCTCCAGCAGTGTTGGAGAGATACATTATCCTTTGCCTCTTCGTATAGATGCGTTAATATCTTTTAATTTAATGGTTTCCTTTGTTTTGCCAATTTTCAGCTAAACCGGAGCAGTGAAGTACGGTATAAGCCGCTCAGCACAACACACACAGTTTAAGAGAAATGTTTCGTCGCTCTGCGTGGTTAATAATGCAACGCTAATTATGAACAATTAGGAGACACAAACACGAATACACGAGATGAGAATACATGAAATAATGGTATTTACGAAACGAAATCAAAGGACGACCCTTGATAAATCTTGTCGTTTTAACGAAACGCCTACATCTACGACTACTATTCGCCATGGAAATCATAGAGAGTATTTAAACAGCTGTCTGTATGTGTTAAAACATTTCACTCGCGTATAGGCCATTCGAAGTCTCTAATTACGTATTTTTTTCTTTTCTGTTCGTTCTCTTCGAAGAAATTTTTGGACACTTTGCAATATATCGCTATATCGTTGAAAAGGTGACACACACATACACACACATTCGATATGTCCCACGTTAGCGTGATCAAGATTCATTCGCACATGGATGCATTGATCATCAAAAAAAAAAATTGATCGTCCGCGATATCCATACGTATTAATCGACAAAATACTATTCGCGATGAAAAAAATATTAGATTTGTAATTAATAATATGTATATGTATGCGCATATGGTATCCTTTGTGTTTGATATTGTTTTTTCACAAGTATGTCGTGTTCGCGATTCTCTGTAATTTGTTTATCAAATATTTTGTACAAAACGATTGTTCTTTAATCGGTATCGTGTTGCTGGGGTTCTGTATGTAAATTGATTAAAAATATAAAGTTTCCATGGTATATTTACAATTTACAAAAGATTCTACAAGTTGCATACTTTGTCTTTAGATAAATCTTTGGTATTATGAAGTATTATACGTTTCATTATTTTAAGTGTAAAAATACTTGAGAAATTATATAATGTTACTTACTAATGCTTTGTATATTGTATAAAGAAAATTTCTAGCTATTTAAGAATGATATTTCTATATTGTATTTTTAACAGAACTCGTCTAGCAACTTGATACCTCGTTGTTAGTCTAATCAGAACGTTGCTCTGTAATTCGCAATTTTCAATTAAAAAGAAAAAAAGATATATGTTCGATTGATCCACGTTTCATTTCTATACGGTTTGGTTTCTCGCTCTTGCACGTTTGTAATCTTTTAATTTCGCGTTTCTCCGCAAACGGTTCGTTTGCGTTTCGATGACTGCCATATATTTTTAAGAAGCACACTAACTTGGGACATAATATATATATAAATATATAAATAAATATATAAATATTATATATATATATAAATATAAATATAAATTAGCTTTTAACAAATTGTTAAATATATGCTGCGCCCTAAGGGAATACGCATTGAAGGATTATAAAAAGGAAGAAATGGAACATTGTGTAATAATTCAGAGATTCCTCTTATACGATCCCAAATATCATGATTCTACGGAATTAAAAAAAAAAGGAGAAAGAAACCCAAGAAGGAGGAAAATGAAGATATTTAATTGTTCTTTAGACGTGTCTGCGTGTACGATGACGCAGTTCTTATCAAGCGAGCGTCTATCATTTAAGAAAATCAAAGTAATTGATATCGATTCTATCTTGATAATGTCTCGCTTGATTTTAACTGGCCATTCGCGTTGCGATTCGCGCGATTGTTAACTTTCTTATCTATTTACTTTTTTAAATATTTATCATGCTCGTTTTGTTTCGTAGAGATGTAAGGATTTAAATGTGAACACTTTTGAGGACCGTGCTTTTTGACTACATTTTTTCAGTGAACGTTACAAATAATCAAAGTTCTTTTTCTCTTTTTTTTCTAAGCTTGTTTCTACATATTTTATATTGGCTAATTTCAATGCGACTCGATTCAACTGATAACGACTTGTTCCATGTTTCTGGAATGCATCCTTTTTAAGATTTCCCTCAATGGACCCTTCGACTAGCACATGTTGTTCAGAATACTTTCTGAAATATGTCTCATATTTTTTACTATATTATACTGTGCGCTTTCACTGATTTGTAAATACCATCACGAGTAAACGCAGTATATGCCTAGAAAAGTACGTCAGGCGATTAATGAATGGTCTTAATCAAAATAATTAAAAATCGATGACATGTTCGCTTTTTTTTTCTTATTTAATGCATGTGCATTTAGTGGATATTTTTTAAACATTTGGAGTCGCATTGCTACACTATAAACAACTTGATATTTCATAGCTATGTGTTTTATATAAATATAAATACGAAATAATGATGAACAGTAAATTATAAGAAACGAAAATTATTATAATAGATAATATATGATTATTGTAAAAGTAATTGATGGTACTTCTTGCATAGAATTATCCCAAGAATGTTTCCATCCATATTCATGCGTCCTACGAATTTGTTTAAATTAATTACAGGCAGCTTATAGATACTATAAAATCTGCAGGATTATTTTTTATCTTGAAAATAATCCTTATTATTAAATTTAGATCAATCTGTACAAGTTGGAATTATATCTTTTATTTAATTCATTTGTTTTCAGTGTTTCATTTACGTTGTTAAGATTCTATGTATTTTTACTTCAATATAGTTTATAGATTGAGAATATAGTCGTAAAAATAAATAAATTTATTTAACGTTTTATTGCGTGATCCTAATAAAAAAGAAATATTAGATACTGTGAAATACCACTTTTTGATCGTGTGTGTTCTACTTGAATACATATAAGCAGTGTAGGGGAGACAGTGATGCTGTTGCCAGGAAATGAAAGCCATTATCTAATATAGTTTTATTATTGCAACTAAGAGTCGCCATTAAAAGTACTTACTCCCCCAAGCATGATTTTCAATTTTATCTCGAACATTCTTTTGTATCGGCTACTGTATGGATAATTATTTATATAAAGTAATTACATATTATAGTATTTTAATCTTACTTTTTGAGATTCTTAAAATATTGTAACAAACAATCATTATTTTCATTTTTTACATTTATATATGGTTCAAGTTAATCATATGTACACATTAATTAAAACTTTTATTTTATTGGGGTAACCAATCGCAACATTTCGAATAGTTCTTAGGGGGTGATTCCCCGTAATTCAAATTCGAGAATGATTCTTTTCAAGTGTTCCTAAACGCGCTTAATAGTGACCTCAAGATGCATTTTCACACCAAGCATGCAGCTCCACTAGAGATGAATTCAAGAACTTTCCTTTAGAGATTATTTATAGTTTATAGCATAAAGTTAATAAAATTGAGATACCAACGAAAGCAATTTTGCTTCTGCAATAATTCCTTTTAAGATTTCATACCGTCCAAGGTGTTTAAGACACGTTACATATGGAGCGACATGCACATGTGCATCGAGCGGCTTAAGGATGCAAGTTAATGATTTTATGAACGTTCAATATAGACCATGAACATACACATATATGTTGACTTATATATATTTGTACATGAGTAAAGAAAGTCAGTCTGAGCAAGATGGCTGGCCGGGTGACTTCGGCCTTTTATTATTACGCGCTTTTATTTCATTTGATATTGTTAACTAGTTCGAATAATGGACTGAGGTTTGGAGACAATGCGAAAACATTGCACATCGTGGATGATGATTCGTTCGATTACAAACAACCGATTATCATCAATCGTGATGAGCATTTACATGATACCAGCGAAACGTCATCTAGTCGAATGCGCCGAGATGTTCCTCAAGCGTTCCCAAATAATAATCCAAACATTACAACAAAGGTACGTAATTGTCGTTTTTTATATTACAAGCGTTCCATTTTTTTTGATCCTGTTTCGCCAGTAGCGATGCCATTCATCCATTAGCCACACAATTTGCGTTGTTTTTGTTTTCTTATCTTTATGGACTTGTTATTCCGCCTGTAGCAGCGATTTTAGAATTTTACGCGACAGTTAATAAGGCCGGCGTATAGCGCTGCCTTTGTGCAGCGACCAGTGGAGAGCGTAATTGCGGTATTATGTCCCTTCCGGACTAAATTTAATCAATCTTGACGAAACGGAGTAGCATCATAGTCGTTCTGTTATTGACATACAGAGGTCAGTAACCGCTCTGTATGCTTTCTTTATTTTTCTAATCAGCCTTTCTTTCCCTTTTGTATTTTTTTTTTTAATAAATGACCGATCTGTCTTTCAAATAAAGCAGTCATTGATTGTTATCGACCGCGGGATTATTTATTGCTTTGGAGTCGTATCAGCTGGACAAATCGAACGACCTGTTTACTCCAATTCGATATTATGATTTATGTTTCTTTGTAACTTGTAAATAAATTGTAAACAAATAAATAATGCTTGAAATGATCGTATTTATGGATTGTAATGTTCATTGAGAATTTTATCTATCTTTTCCTACTTAATAATTGCAAAAATAATTTTGTAGTTTGATAAATTATGTATTATATCTTTTCTTTTAATAATATTCACTTATTTTTTATTATAAATCTCTCAAGAGAGTATGAATAACATACAAGTATTTGCATAATTTGTTACATAATTGTTCATTATTGTACTAAAATAAATAAAAGTATAGAACACTTTGTCTTTAACTGCATGCATTGTGTCAATAAATTACACTTGTATATAATATTCTGATGATACTATAGTACGTGACAATTAGTCACCAGTGCATGCCATGCCTTTGAACATGTATAGAAATACTTGTATGGGTGATAACAAAGAAGCATAATGTGTCAGCAGCTTAAGTTGATAAAGTAATTTATAGTTAGTATTTGAATATGATATTATTTATCTTGGAATACTTATCAGTCAATTTTCTATTCAGATGAATGTTTTCTTTTTCTTTTTTTAAATTTAATAAATACTTGTACCCCAGGAGCTAGAACCTTGAAGTTATATAAACCCATGAAATAGCAAATAAAAGAATTGTTTAAAATTATTTTTAAAACATAATATCTTATCCGTCACTTTTAATTTTAATAATAAGGAAAGTAATTATACCATTACATCATCTGTTTACTCATTTATACATGCAATGGGGATTCATTTTTCCAAGAATTGTAAACCATCTATGACTCATGTTCTATGTTCATTTACTTTACTTTTACGATTTTCTGAAGTAATAATAAATATTAAATGCAACCTTTGCCTTCTTTTTTTTTCCTATCCCTATTGATAATGTATTTTTATCAGTATATCCTTATCTGTATTATGAACGATTTGTCTTTAAAAATAATGTTTAGAAATATCTTTCTTTTTTCAAAAGCAATGCTGACAAAATTATATAATTCACAGAGTAATAAAGATCTCAACGCGTATGGTGTGTTACAGATTAATGCTTTAAATGATTCACATCAGCAATTGATGGTACATTGGGTTGGAGAAGGATCTAATGTGATAATATGTCTAGCAAGAGACAGTACACCAGTGAAACGTATGCTAGACAAATTTGCAACACCCAGCCCCCCTACACCTAGCGCTGTGTATATAAGTTACGATTATGGTAATACATTTGTGAACAAGACAGACAAATTTCGGATTTCTTCCGAACCGGATGCACCGTATGCCACTTTGGACAAGTTCACTAATCATCCAAAGTTTTATAGATACGTGAGTCTATATTTAATGAACATAATAAAAATTAACTAAATTAATTAACTATGTTCATCATTTATTATTTTCCAGTGTATCTTTGTGGACAGTTCGCATAGCTTACTGTTCATCACACTTAACGATGGTGAAACTATTGAAAGGGTGCAAGTACCATTTCATCCAAGTGAGATCTCATTTTATGATATGCATTATAGAGTTATTATTGCTCTTGACAAAGTTGATCCAATGCGAAAAGTAAATTTCTATACTTTTTATTAAAATAAGTATTCCTCTCTCCTCATTATTTTATTCGTATTATATTATCGTTATCGTGTTTCTATATAGTTGTGGTTATCAAGGGATGCTGGATTTACCTGGATACCAATATATCAATACGTAAAAGCATTCTTCTGGTCTCCTTTGCCAGCATTAATCGTGGAACGTATCGAACCATCTGGGCTGAACAGTGTTTGGCAATTAGATTTGGAATACTGGATGTCAACAAAATTCAATGAGGAATTCACGGTCGTTATCACAAACGTCGAAGACTTTCAAATTCGAGGCGATTATAGATTCGCGACAATGAAGAAGGTGTGTAATAAACACTTTATTATATTAAATCGTACGTAAAATTTAATTGAAATCAATGTACGAACAAAGAAATTCTTTTCTAAACAGAATGGAACAGAAAATCTAGATCTCTATGTCTCCTACAAGTACAGCTATTTCGTCAAGGCTGAATTCAGCACAGATTTACCAATTAAAGCTTATCACATCGTTGACGTGTCGCATAATAGAGTCTTTGTCACAGCTTCTCACAGTGAAACCCAAGTGAATCTCTATATATCGGAAATGATAGATAAAAAAAGAGCAACATTCACGTTATCTCTCGAGGGAATCTTAACGTTTTTCCCTAATAATACTTGGAAAGACAGTTGGTTGAAGTGAGTACCGGATGTTTGACATAATATCGTGCAGTTATTTCTCGATAAATAATTAAAACCTAATTTTATACCGTTTTCAGTGAAGTGGTCGACGAGGCATTTACAGATTTATACAAAGTTGAAGGTCTTCGTGGAATTTATATAGCGTCGCAAGTGAGAGGTACACCGAAATCAGGGTCAATCGGACCGGAGCATTTGGTATCGTTGATAACTTTCGACCACGGCGCAACATGGAATCCCATAAGACCACCGACCTCGAATTACGAAGGATTTTATATTCAGTGTCCGAAAAACTGTTCGTTGCATTTAAGCCAACGTTTCAGCCAATTGTACCCTGTAACGAGATCTGTCTCTATTATGAGCTCAAAATCCGCTCCTGGTATCATAATGGCTACCGGAGTTATAGGGCCAAATCTCAAAGGACATCCCGCTCTGTACGTATCCAGAGATGCCGGTCTCACGTGGACACAAGTCCTCAAGGATTACTATTTCTTCAACATGGGCAATCATGGTGGTTTATTGGTGGCTGTTAAGTATTTCAAATCCCGAGGTGAAACCAGAGATATTTCCTATTCCACCGACGAGGGTGAAACCTGGCAATCGTACGAGTTCAACGAGAAAATGTTGCGAGTATACGGTTTGATGACCGAGCCCGGAGAAAATACAACAGTGTTCACGATGTTTGGTTCCGCGAGCGGTCAACATCAATGGTTGATCATCAAAGTTGACCTGAGAAACGTGTTCGAGAGAGATTGCGAAGAGGAGGACTTCAAGTTCTGGTCTCCGTCGAGCCCGGATCAACCGTGGATGACGTGCGTGTTGGGTCGTAAAGTGACCTATCAACGAAGAGCTGCACGAGTCAATTGTTACATCGACGTGGATTACGATCGTCCAGTAAAAACAGAAATATGTCCCTGCGATTACAACGACTATCAATGCGACTTCGGGTTTGTCCGAGTTGGAAATCCCTATCAATGCATTCGCGATAGGTCTGTACTTTTCTACAATCCCTATGCTGTACCGGTAAACTGCGAACCCGGGACGTTCTATAATCGAACGAAGGGATACATAAAGATAGCCGATGACGAGTGCGTCGGTGGTTTGGCTAGAAACTTTGAACCTGACGAAATTCCGTGTCCCATAGGAGAGAAGTCAGAGTTCCTGCTAGTGGCCCAACGGGAACATATATCTCGTATAGATCTGGTGGAAGAAAAGTTAGAAACATTGCCGGTTCACGATTTGAAAAACGTGATAGCCATAGAATTCGACATGAAGAACAACTGTCTGTACTGGGCAGATATCGTGAACGACACGATTGGCAGGCAGTGTTTCAAGAATGGTACTAGTTATCCTGAGATTTTGGTGGAAGTCGACTTGAGTTCCATCGAGGGAATGGCATTGGATTGGGTATCCAATCTTTTGTATTTCGTGGATGGCGTGAAGATGAGGATTCAAGTGATCAGAACGGATATATCGATTGCTGGACGAATGCGAAGAACCATTCTAGGACCCAATAACCTCCAGAAACCTAGAGGCATCGCGGTTCACCCTATGAATGGTTACATGTTCTGGACCGATTGGGCACCGGGTAACGCTTCAGTTTCGAGAGCGAATCTGGATGGGACAGAAGTGAAACGGCTGTTCGTGGAACCCACCGTTGATTGGCCAAATGGAATAACAATTGATCACATATCGGAGCGGATCTATTGGGTGGATGCTAGACAGGATTACATAGGATCGAGCGATTTCGACGGGAAGAAATTTAAAAAGATTATCTCAAAGAACGATCGAGTATCGCATCCTTTCGCCGTTGCGGTCTTCAAAGACAACATGTATTGGGACGATTGGAAACAATCAATGATATTCGTCGCGGACAAGGATCACGGTTTGGGTATATCAACGATCATCGGTCAGTTACCTGGTTTGATGGATCTGAAAGTGTTTGCCCACAGTATTCAGATGGGTACCAATGCTTGCGCCAATAGCACCTGTTCGCACATATGCGTGGGAGCGCCTCACGATGGACACGTGTGTCTTTGTCCTGATGGAATGGAGATGGTTGGGGGTAAATGTATGTGTCCAGGTGGTACCATACCGTACGCGAATTCCACGTGTCCTCAGGTAGCCTCCACCTGCGCACCGAATCAATTCGCTTGTCAGAACAATGTGTGCATCCCGGCATCCTGGCGATGCGACAAGGACAACGATTGCGGGGATAAATCAGACGAGATCAATTGCACTAGGGTCACCTGCGATCCGAACAATTTCAAGTGCGACGTCACCAAGTGCATCCCACGGTACTGGGTCTGCGATATCGATCAGGATTGCAAGGATGGCACCGATGAGTTAAATTGCAAATACTCGGATTGCACGGAATCCCAGTTTACCTGCGGCAACGGTAGATGCATTAATCACAGATGGCGTTGCGACGGTGAAGATGATTGCGGTGATTATTCAGATGAAAACAACTGCACGAAAAACGTACCACCGAGCACCTGTAGATCCGACGAGATCCTTTGCAAACACGAGCACGCGTGTATACCGACTGGATGGAAATGCGACGGCGAGCCAGACTGCGAGGACGGCATGGACGAAAATGAATGCAATAAGATGGTCTGCGAAAGTTGGCAGTTCACCTGTAATCTATCACAGGCCAAGCATCGATGCATTTACAACTCGTGGGTCTGCGACGGGGATGAAGACTGTTCGGATGGTTCAGACGAGGCGAATTGCACCACTACCGTACAGTCAGCCACCCTGGCCCCGATTCTGCCCAGCAGTCCCTGCAATAACTGGATGTTCATGTGCAACAACAAGAAATGCGTGCCCTATTGGTGGAAATGCGACACCGTGGACGATTGCGGCGACGATTCCGATGAAATTGGCTGCGGCAACGACGAGGTCGACGAGTGGACGGCACTGTACATACCCACCGAACAAGCTAAAGTCTGTCAGGAACACGAGTTCCAGTGCTTGAACGGCAAATGTATACACGACGCGTGGGTCTGCGATGGTACGAAGGATTGCGCTTCAGGAGAAGACGAGTCCCATTGCGACGGAGTTCCGGCCTCCTGCAGAGAGAATCAGTTCATGTGTAGAATGGACGGTACCTGCATACTCGCGACCGGTGTTTGCAACGGTGTGGAAGAATGCCCTGACGGCAGTGACGAGTTAGGCTGTTCCCGAGAGCAGCATTCTAGCCCAGCAGCCACGCCATCCTGCTATGCCGGCTTGTTCCCTTGCGACGAGACGCGATGCTTCCCCCTGGCCGCGTACTGCGACGGCAACCAGGATTGCATGGACGGATTCGATGAAAGCAACTGCGAAAAGAACAGTTCATTGGTTTATCAGCTTCTCGTGATGGGATTGGACGAGCGTTCGGTGAACGCCAGCAGCGTTTTCCTCTTCTGGTGGATGCCAGTGCCCGTTAACGTCACCTTCGAGTTCCTGCCCTCTATAGCCTTAGCGGAACCAGGCGCTAACTGGACCAACGCCAGCGAATGGATCGAGGACATGGAGTATCAGTTCAATAATCTTAAACCGTACACTCGTTACAATCTTACGGTCCATGTTAGGCTAAAGGGTCAGAATGTAGTATTCCCGCCTACTAAGTATCTAGCAGTGACGACCGGTGAGGGCGTCCCCTCCGAACCATGGAACGTAACCGTGACCCAGAAAAATGGAACCAAGGTGGAGGTCACTTGGCAGCCACCTCGTCATCCCAATGGACTCATTACCAGATACGAAATTTTTGTAACACCGCCTATACCCCCGATGCGTTTCTTCTGGCAAAAGACTTCGGCAGTTATAGACATAGCGTTCGAGGCAGGTAAGAAGTACTACTTCTACGTGATAGCTAAGAACAGGGATCACGAGTCAGCCTCCTCGAACGTGGCTACGTTTACCTTCGACGGTTCAGCCAACATTGACAACATCGAGAACCTCGAAGTCGTTGCGACGACCAATCACTCGGTCACATTATCCTGGAAGGCGATCAAGGACGTCGACAGCTATCACGTCACTCCAAGAGCTCCGTCCCATTATCCTGCACTGCAGACTATCTCTACTCTGGAGAATCACTTGGAGGTTACGAAATTAGCTCCTGGTACTAAGTACACATTCGAGGTTGGAGCCATGAAGAAGAAGTACGTTGGAAAGGTGACGGCGATAATCGCTACCACGCAAGGCGTTTCTTTGCCAACGATCACAAAGCTGCAAGCTCATCTGGTTAAACCCCATGGAACCACCGTGAAGCTCACTTGGGATCCACCGAAGAGCACCAGGAAGATCAAATGGCAATATGCGATTCATTATGCTATTAATATGTCGGAGTTCTTTAAAGGTAATTATTTGTAGAGAATTATAGACTTATCTTCTTTGCTCAATGTTAACGGAGACACGATTGTTCGCAGAGTATAAACTTCTGACGACAAACCTGTCGGTGACTATTAAGGACCTGGAGGCTTGCGAGTCTTACGTGTTCTCGGTGGGTGTTAACGGAGATTATGGTGCTGGTCCTCTGAGTCAACCTGTCACAGTGCTGACGCATTACAATCAGCGGGCTCCGCCGAAGAAATTGAGGGTCAGCGCGACGGACAAACCGAATAGTATAATCGTTTCTTGGAGCGCTAGTTGCCCCACCATCGACGAACCCATTAGATACACGGTAAGAACAGTCTAGATCGAAGATCTAGTTCTTTCTTTATTAATCCGCTTAAAAATTGTATCGTTGTTCGTTTCAGATCAGTATGACAGAATTGACCCTGAACAAGAGCTTCGTGGTGACCCTAGCACCCACCAAGGAGACACTTATGAAGCACACCTTCAACTGCATCAAACACAGCGGCAAATATCGAATCACCGTGGCTACGGATGTTGAGAATGCTATACCTAGACAACCAGTCATCTACACAGCTCCTATAATCTTGCCACCTCATCAGGTGAAAGTTCTACACGAGAACGAGGGACTCCTCGTCTTCTGGCAAGAACACGATTTACCGGAAAGCATAAAGACTGACAAGTATCACTATGAAATTTTGATGGTGGAAGGACACACGATGAACGAGTCGCTTGCTAAAGTATTCAAGGTCGAACAACCGCCGTATACCTTCAAGGATGTGAAGCCTGATGTAATTTATTCGTTTGCCGTTCGTTTGGTCACCGAGGAGGGGTACATGAGTCCTTTGAGCGAGACCTACAGCACCAGAAATCTTGGAGGTAATCATTTTGTCGCAAAGATTGCGCTATTTGTTTCTAGGGTGCTATTCTCGATGGTTAATGTGATTTCGAATGATTTATTTCAGAGGTTTCCTCGTTACCAGTGACCATGAACACGTCGAACATCCTCTCGTTTGCTATACCAATCTGTTTATTGATCGTGGCATTGGGATCTGCATTGGCATACTTTATTGTGAGACACAGAAGGTTGAGTAATAGTTTCACTCAATTTGCTAACAGCCACTATGATACCAGACGTGGACAGGCGACTTTCCCAGGAACTACAGATGGTTTAGGTGAGTTTCTTCGATATTTAATTCAATTTATTGTTGACAGCAAGTGTCAGAGCGGATGCCATCGCCTTTAAGAGACTATAACCAGATATTTTTCTTCTTTTTTTTACAGAAGAAGAAGACAGTCCCGTGATCCGAGGGTTCTCCGACGACGAACCGTTGGTGATAGCATAGGCTCAAAATTAACACATGACAAACGTCCACACTGAACCATACACGTACACATAATACACCTATTTACATGTTAGGAAAAATGTGCCAAGACACTATTAATACGATAAAGTTCGAGTATATATTTAGGTAAGACGACCTGATCATAAAGGTGGAAAGCTTTTGTGAAAGTGGCTCAAGACTGACATACGTACATACACACATACACACAGAGAAATATAACCAAACACTAATCCTAGTTAGTACAGATCGATTAAAATGGGCTGCTCAGAGCACTTACATGAAAGCTTTACGAGATGAAACGTGAAATTTATATCACCCCTACATCGTAGAGTACTAATTATGTACGTGTACATTTGAGGGTAACGTAAGCTTCTTTCGACACCTCAACACTTGTCTTCTTTGTTCTTCAAAGAACTTGGAGAGACTTCTATGTTATTTTTATTAATTAAATTTTACACTATTTTTTAAAATATTATTTTACAACGCCTGAAGCACTTTTGTTTAAAACTTTATAGGTGTAATTTTAACTTACTGACTGGAAGCGTACGGGAACAAGTCTAAATTAGGCTCCTCCCCATCTACATTTATTCTTAGCCAAAGGAAGCCTACATTACACTCAGGTGTATATGATAGATTGATTAAGTATACGGACGATTAAGTCTACGTCACATTGGCGAGCTATTAAAAGGTGGAAATTGTTGTTTTGTTAAGATACGTTTATGTAAAAATCAGATGAAGAGTGTGCAAGAGAGAGAGTGAGAAAGGAAGAGAAGATAAAGAGGAATCTGTACATATAGTAAATATTTTGTACGAAGAGCAGAACTTTTCAAGCTTTTTCCAAGAGATGCCATACATGAAGTTGACACAAATTTGTACTATATGCATAATAACGAAAAGACTGTCTTCTTCGCTTGTTCTTTTATCGTCACTGTTTTTTTTTTATTCGAGTGCAGAGATTTTCATCGTGTTTTATCTTTTGACAAAATTTTTTACCACGAGCCTGCATTTATTCACGCTCTGCCTCCGTACCTATTTTATTTTATATTTGTAATAAATCCTTTTATAAGTGAAAACACCAAATAATATCTTATTCGTGTGGCGCATGCAATTTGTAAAGCGAGTCATCACCCGTGGCGATGATGAAGGATTTTGATATTTTAGCGTTTAATTTTGAGCCGGAAGTCGAAACGAGCCAAATCGGAAACCATCGTCCCGTATAACTTGATCGAAATTTTATATTTTTAAGCGTTCGTATATTGTCGCTCGCGTGTATTCTACTTTTTAAATGTTTTTTCGCGGGATTATCCTGTACGTTACGGTGTAAATAAGGGATTCAGAAATGTGTAATTTGGATGTAACATTGATCTAGAAGAAAAGAATCATTCCTCTGTGAAACCGCGAACGCCGTCACCGTTTTTTATACGACCCTCGAGCGGAAAGTATAGCTAGGTAGAAACATGAAATTTTTGCAGAAATATTTTCTATTTCGTTCAAACTTTATTGCAAAGGGAGTAACGAACAATTTTTATCATTCAACAGGACTAAGATTCTTTGGAACAGGAAACAGGAAGCGTCGAGCAGTATTATCAGGGTGTCTGTTTCAAAATGTTTGAAGATTTTTAAGATCGGTTTAGTTTCATTAACACTGTTCCCTCAAATGTAATTAATACCTGATGAGTTTTATTTTAAAATTCAGTTTCTACCCTTTCAACGAATATTAACTAAATGAATTTTTTAACGTTTCTGATTTATTTTGAGTAATTATTTATAAGTTAGAAGTTACGAGTGTTTCGAGATTATAGCTTGAGATTATTCCAAGTAATTCGGTTTGATTGTCAACGCAATGAAAGAGAGAACAAGAACGATGGATTCGAAAAAGAAATTTTCGATGCAGTTTGTTTTTTGTGAGATCGACTATATCGATGAAGTATAGCTTGTACGTGTAAATCTCAAGGGTTATAGCAATATAACAGTGATATATACATAATATATAAATATCTATGCGTATACATATAATATATTTGCGTGTAAATAAATGGATTTAAGGCACAGAGTACCATGAATTTATTTTGATGAAAGGAGTACCCTATCCCATATTGGATTGATTTAATCCGAAAGAAGTTTTCAGAAGAAACTATATCTTTATTTTGAAGTAATGAAATAACGGTGTCGAAAACCTCGAATTATCCTCAACGGAAGTGCTTAGTCTTCCAAGAAGCGGGCCCATTGTGGAATCGGTCAAACGTCTGTTTCATCGTTCTACTTTTTAGTAACTCGACAAAGAGCACTTCCGCCGGAAGAGCCATCCAGTTGCCAAATTACCGTTCTCTAATCGCAGGAAACAAAACAAAAAAAATCGACCGATTTCTTATTTGGGTTAAAATGCAACATGCAATGGTACTGAAAATAAATTCTAATTCCAATTCAAATCATTTTCTAATTATGTGAAATTACGGATAAAAAGAATTAGGTTAAAATTAAGTAATATTAGATAATTGACAATTTTAATAAAGCCAGAAGAAATGGCCCACCCCCAATAATGACCCTAATGACCCTCCAACGCCTGCAAAATGTTAATTAACATTACAGCACAAACGGAGCTCATTTATCTGATTGTGGAATCGTTTGTTTCCACCATCAAACGACTTTCTTCTTCCAAGTTTGCGGTAAGGGAAGATTAGCATGAAAACTCTTTAAGATCGCGTTCGATGCGTCGTTACGCTAACAGACGTCTGTCTGTAACTATTTAACAAATCTGGGCTACGCACGTGTAAATGTACCGTAATAATAATTGTTTCCTTAATTACTGGTGCTTATACGAACAGCTCGCTCATCGCGCTTTTTACAAGAAGCGAGAGCGGTTCCTTTGAACGTTCTAGCGACGTCCACGCGAGAATAATGATTCGCTATTGTTCGAGGATGCTTGTAAGTCATTAAGCGAATTTTTCGACGGAAATTGCACGTGAAAGTGTATAATAATTACAAATCTTCAAATCGTTTTAGGGACATTTTGTAATTTGATTACATTCAGTAATTAATTTTGCAGAATAATCTGAGAAAATATTTTGTCCCAAATAAGAATTTCTTCAGTTTTTCAAATAACTATTTTACCTGCAAATAAAGAGAATCATGAATCGATGATTTCAACGCATGACTGTTTCCTTTCTTCGAAATTGTTAGCCCCGTTTTAGTATATTTATGGATTGCTGTGTAATTTTCTTTCAATTTAGCACCGACGTGTTCAATAAACTCTACGTCATACGTTTAACACGAATCACGGAAACATTTCATCGCGGAAATCGTTTACTTTTTGCTATTAATTTGTTCGTGTTCAAGCGTGACTATCCGCGCGATCATCTTATCAAGATCATGACGACAATCGCGCCGTGTTAAATAGTGCAGAAAGATCAATAAGCGTGAGATGAAATTCTATTAGACGATAAATTTGATGACTTAATATGTTTGAAATATGTGATTCAATTAAGATTCAAGTTTCACTTGCCAATTTCTAATTCTATACGTTCGAAAGTTAATATTAGTTATTATACATTTGAAAGTTATTGCAATATACCTATAATCCAACGAGAATTCACGTGCTCGAAGCAGGTCCAACTCACAGTACACGAACCTCGACCGAAACGTTTGAAGAACTGAAAACAACTGAGCTCCGACCTTGCGTCGAGCGCGCGAATTTGTAAACATATCCTGACTCGTCACCGTTGGACGGGTTATAGATATTAAATAAAATATTCTTTTCTAAGTGCCATTTTCCCTAGGATACCATCTTTGCACTGTATAAAAAACAATATACAAATAATTCAATATCCAATTAAAATTGAATATTAATAACAAGATACATAAATATTAAATAAAAATTTGTTCGTTAGGTACCATTTTCCCTGGGGTGCCATTTTTGGCACTATACACAAAAGCTAATGTACAAATAATCTAATATATTTTTTATTATTTATTTACCCTCTGAATCTGTCAAAATGGTAAACGTTGAAAGTCCATTAACGCCCAAGTGTTAAACGAAAACGAACCGGACTCTTTTCCTTTTGTTTCCACCGAAGCCGTGTACCTTTTCACCCGGCCAATTGTTGAACAGAAGAAACGAAACGTCCCTTCCGTCCAAAACGCTAGCCAACACCGGTCGACTTTGAATATCGACACGAATCTCCACTTTCGAGGAGCGGTACCATTATTCACGAGAATGGTGTTACCAGTTAAACGTGAGAATCGTGAGAACGAGATGAGTAAGGAGGATGAAACGCATAGTTAAATAAAAGAAGAAGAGGAAGAAGAAGAGGAAGAATAGAACCGGTAGGTAGAGGATCTCTGGTGCAACGACGAGGATATCACGACTACGAACAGCAAGGACACGAAGAGAGTAGCTTCCCAAGCGAAAGAAGGGATATCCGAGTCCCCACTATTAAATGGCTCGACTTCGACGCGGAAAGGAGAAGCTTCATCGGGGGCGGTGGAACACTATCCAGCCTCAGTGCAATTTCGACACTCGTCTAGTTATCAAGAATTGATTACTATTATCCTAGGTCCTCAAGAAACAGGACCTTCTTGACATTCCCTAGGAAAGTTACAGTGCTTCGAAGTGATGAAGAATCAAAGGGACCATCGAAGGACCCTGAAGAGACAAGAAGTTTCGTTTGCTGTTTAGGAGACTGAGTCCTGTGAGGTAATTAAAGAATATCAGAGTGAGTCGAGGAATAATTAAAGACTTTGAAATGGAAGGAAGAGATTGACATAAGAATTGAGGGATGACAAGAAGGGTTGGATAATTGAATAATTGTGATTGTTGAAAGATGTTTGATGGGTCATTCAGGGATGTTGAGGAAAAAGGAAGAAGTCTAAAGAAGGAGCAGAAGAATCAAAAGATTAGAGGATAAAATAGAAGTTTTATATTGAAAGATATTCTAAAGTTGAAGAGTTCATTATAGAAAAATATTATTTCTTTGTTGTTAATTAATTGCAAGGTTTTACGAGGGTTAATTAAGATACCAAGGATGAATAAATAATAATTTTACAAATAAAACAGCTGCCTGAAGAAATTTCAGATTTCTTCATCAGGATCAATCGAAGAAGAGATTATATCACTGAAAGTGTCAGTGAAGTCCTTATCAGGAAAACTTGACTCTCGTAAAACACCGAGGAAAAGGAGGCTTATTTTCCTTAAAAAGGAAAAGTAACTGACGAACAGACTGCCTTAAACTCTCATATGATATGAAAGTGTATTAAATACGAACATTAAAAGAACCAGTTTTCATAATCGGAGAACGAGTAGCAATTAAATTCTCAAAGATCAATGAGATCTGCAACCGGAAGGCGGATTAGAAGATTAATTTGTACATTGAAGAATTGAAAGTAAGAACTGACAGATCAATTTCTATCAAATTTATAAAAGGAAGGCACAGAAGGAACCAGAAATTCTGGAATGGTTAACATTGAACGAGTAGACGAAGAAAAGAACCATCAGGAAATTCTTCTAAAATAACAAACTTCCTCGAATTGAACATTTCCGGTGGTATTACTGGAGCACGAACGAACATGCACAGTTTCTCTGATAACACGCAATGACACAAAACGCGTTCTTATTACCTTGTCAATTAGTATCACCGTCTCAGAAACGCATACGAATCGAACCGGAAGTTCCACACGCGAACACGAGAATAGGAAACAGGGTCACAAGTACAATCGATTAAATCGTCATTTGGAGAAATGATTTCGTTCGACAGGATGTCTATTCTGTTGTTGATGAATTTTCTGTTTGGTAAAAAGCTTAAAGAGATCGGTTCCGGAAGTTGTAGACGTTGAGGGAAGAGTAAAAGCGAAGAAGAAGTTTAAAACGGTGAAAGCAAAAAGAAGAAAGGAAGAATCGATCGTTTCAAAGTGATTTACGAGCCGTGAAACGAATTCTACGAATGTTAGAAGAGAACTTTTCAGTTGGAAACTTAGGAAGAATAAGAAGAGATTCTGGGAATGATTTGAGGAAGAAAAGTTGGAGAAGAGATTGGTTTTTATGGAAAAGAGAAAAATACATGTTTGATTATGAACTGAAGATAAGTTGTTTTTTTTTTTTGAAAAAGTTGATTCTTGAAACGTTTATTAAAGCATAATGAAGAAACATTTGTTTTGTGAGGAAGAAATATTAAAGGAAGACTGTTGAGATATTTGTATGAAGAATATCCTGTCTTTTGAAGGGAAAAAAGAAAAGAAGAATATACTGAAGAAACTTCTGTACAGAAGAAGCGAAAACTTTTAAAGGTAAGAGAAATTTTTAAGAATAATAAGAAAACTAAATTATCTAATTTTTATTAAAACTAATTCAAAAACGATTGACATTTAGAGAAAAGAAAATTTAAAAGTTTCTATTTCTAGAAACTCGGCCTAGTTGCATCAAATTATAATAAACATTTCTTCTTTCCTTTCAAGCGAAGGAACAGGATCGAAATCAAATGTACCAGAGCACTTTGAGTATAGTGCTTCATAAAATAAAGTGAACGATCAGCATTTATTGAAACAGATATTACCAAAGCTGTAAAAATATGAAAACCTGCATCGATAGTGCAGAACGTGGGTAGAGGCACCTAGTTTTATTCGACACAAATGTATAAAATGTCGAATAGAAAGGCTATGGAATAAGAAATTCTAAATTTCACTTATTTATCGTCTTCAGAAGAAAGGAACAAGTCTTCGTAAAATTGCAAACCAAAATCAATTGAAGAAACGTTCAGCAATTCAATCCACCCATAATTGTAATTATAAATCTAAAATTTCCTTATAAAGATTCGTTGTTTAAATTTGAAATTCCTTTTCACCGAAAAAATTCAAAGAAGAATAGCCGAACCTTCATTTGTCTTAAAGAAAAAAAGAATTCTAAAGAGTTCTGCACTCACCATCAACTTTCACATGAATTTTTTTTTTTTTTATTCTTCTTTTGTCACCATTAACGAGTTAGCTTTCTGATTAAAGAAGAAACATAAAAAAAGTAGAATTAATATAAATCATACATCCAAAAAAAGAAAAAAATATGTTGACA